CATTACGCGAAGCCACTGGCTGCCGGAACACATACCCACCAATGGCACCTGCGTTCGTAGTGGTGGGCGTGTCTGGAGACTTACTCCAGGACGCTCGCCCTCGTCAAGGCGGGCTCCCGAGCGGCATCTCAACGAGATACGTCGGCAGCATTCCGGCCCTTCCCAGCTACCCAGTCCGCCCCGCCAGCCGCTTCCCCAACTCCAACCAGGAATATTTCCACCCACACAGATTTGAAAAGAAATATCAGATCTTGCGTTTCCCTTGACGATGGATCCATCGCAAGCATTCGGCCCTTCTCGATATTCCTCCAGATCTTCATCGGTGAGCGTGCCCGCTTCCGCTTCCGCATTTCGTCAATCTTGCATGACAGCCGTGCCTCTAGATCTCGGTAGCTCGTAATGTACCGACCAACCGAGTTTCAGGCCAACATATCTATCAACTGTGCAAGCTGACGCTTCTGGCGGTGGAAATCAGTCGACACATACTGTGGCCTAACACGTGGGGTTGCCGGCGAGGCCGTCATGTACGCGCAGCATGTCAGGGCGACGTCGAATCCGCGACCGGTCAGATTCCGCATCAGTCAATAGGGAATGCGCATCGTGTAACGGACCACCTCCATCAAAAAATGTGAGTGAAGAGAGGTACGGAATTTCCACATGATATAAACCTGTGCATTGGCGAAGCATACGACTTGAGTCTCACAACGCTGTGTGAGGACCATATTGCAACCGTTCGCCACCCTTGAGGGGTTTCGGGGGCACGCCTCACTGACGCGTTTGCACCCTTCCCTCCCAAGAATAGACCTTCTCTGCATCGCCAAACTGCAAAAGAATGGGATGGATCGCTCTGCTGAGATCCCCCTTTTCAAACCCATGCTGATCGCCACTGCCCCATTCTGCCACCGATCGAGCGTTTCCCAACATTATGGAGCTGGAGTGAGGCTGAACATCCTATCAAGGATACATCGCCACCAACATCACATTCTTGCGCGGCTTCTGATGAAAATCCTCACTGCGACTCAATGGCCCTTGATGTCAATCTTGTCAGCATATACGGTTGCAGCCAAGCGCAGGCCTTCGGAGGCTAATCGGTATTCTGTCTTTACTGCATTCTTCCCTGCTATAGCAACTCGGATTTTGGCACGACGCTCAGCAGACAAGCCGGTGGCATTGTGTTTCCGGAGAACGTTCGTATATGATCATCCAACGGCAGCTTACTGCATGCTAGCATTATTTCGGAACATCGTTGTCGTATTCAAACGTAACGGTCGCTGCTCGCAGTAGAATCCTTCTGCACGTTGACTGAAAGAAGTAGTGCTTGCGTCGTACCCTGCAAGTGGAGATATCTGATGTTACAGATCTGACAACGTCAAATTTGCAATTGACGAGGCTGAGACTTCTAACTGGAAGCCTCGGTCATGTATGCAGAACACTATTCCTTCATTTAGGCCCATAAGGTAGGACTAGGCCTCGTCCACATGAAGCCACGTTTCATGAGAAAGGATGGATTATTTGACTAGCTTATCTCGTCGTCTTCCCACTCAGTGCTTCATTTCTCATTGGTCGACCACTCAATTCCACATACTCATATGAGTCTAATTGCGTGCAAGGCAGTCCATCAGCCTCTGCGCGGCTCCTTAAACCCGCAGCTACCGAGTCTTCAACCGCCGGATCGAGTGCTATCACACAATCTTGTCACATACGTACTTCAGAGGCACTAGGGATGTGCTTGGACCGTGAAGGAGACTCTGTTGGGAAAGTAGGCCGCGCGTAGCAATGTCGAATTTTAATGAGCGCTCGAGACACGTTATACTCACCCAAATGCTTTCGGCGTGTAAGGATCAGGACGTGCTCTTTCCTATGACGCGGAGGACAGTATTGCAGTGAGCGTCATTCGGCCTTGTAGTGTCATATCCTAGGCGGTCGGACCTCAGGCACATCGTAGCCTTTTCAGTCTTAGAGTCCGCCTTTCGTTATTCGATCAATCTTAGAAGGCCACAATGACTGAGCAATGTATCTACGCTCGCCATATGTACGACGTAACGGCTCAGCTTCACATCCAGCTCGCCCATCCTGGAGAGCCGGATACTTCACAACTTTTTGGTTACAGTAAAGCTACAGTGGGAGGCTTTGTGACAAGCGTGATGGTAGAATTTGCACCCAAGGTGCGCTCTTCATGCACAACGAAGATAGGATCATGTAGGGTACGGTGCTTAGCAGTGACTATGTTAGCTTCAGATTAGATGCATTGTACGCAGCACGCAAGACATACGGACTTGCTCGGTATACGCTCACAGACCATAAAACGGAGTTTGGTTGATGACTTCAACAACCGGAAGCTAATCATCAGCTTCAGCCTCGTTCTGAGAGAAGGGTTGACGGACCACTAGACTTGTAACGGTAATAACTGCGATACATATTTCTCAAATACTTCGCCAGGATTGCATGCGGGAGAGCGTGATTCTTCGAAATGACGTATGATAGGAAATAGTCATCAGATACAACTGCAACATGTTCTACAGCAACCGAAATATGAACGGACAAGTTTTCATCTTGCCCTCCATGTTATGGCTGTGGATTAACTGCGCTCCTTCTCTTGATTACTCAATCCATCAGCTGTTTCCGATACACATACCTGCGTAAGCAGCTATTCTCTCATCCTTTGATAGGCGTCAGGATATTCGGCCCCAAAGCCCGAGAGTTGGATAGATTCAATCTCCAGAGTTACCTGGTAACCTAATACTTCGCGCCCGTAGACTACTCACTCATCCCCTCAGCCCAATACTCCCCACTCCACAGACCGTTTAAGCGCTTATACTTGGGTAGCTCCAGCTCGGAAGTCGACATGCGACAAAACATCGGACCCACCCTCCGCTACCAATAGCATCGTACTTGAGCCATTCAGCTGGACAACTTGGCTCATACAAGCGCGATAGCAAGCGTGATGATAACTGATTGGACCCGCAGAACCATCAGCACAACATGACGTCTAGATACAATTTGCGGCTATCATTAGCTCTAGAGACCATTCAAACACTACCGGAGTACTATCTGAAATAGGGCTGACCGGTACCCAAGAACCCAAATTTTGGTTGCCGGTACGCTAAGATCGTAGGCAAATTAGGCAAGTTAGGCGGAGTTTCTATAGGGCAAACGCCTTGTGATACTCGATCGACCAAAGTGTTGACACACGCTGCACACGCTGTCACGACACGTCGTGTTATTCGGTAACAGCGGTTACAGCGGGGCGCGTGATTTAATCCTGTGGTCGTGCTAATAGGACTACGGTTATAATGGATAAGAGTAAGATCTACTGAGCAACTTGTCGCTTTACTCGAGTAACGCGCGGCTATATTCAGTAGTCAGGAGAGTCAACCGTCCGGATTTCTATACCCGTAACTCCTGGTAAATTTATGTATACGGAAGTTCTCGGATGAATGTAGACAACCGAAGGATTTCTGCGATAGGTACAACGTATCAACATGTTGCATCAAGGTGCCTTGCGAGTGCATGATGTCTATATTTTAAATGCGTGTCACATTTTGTTGGCTCCCAGCTTATTCCTGGTATCACTGTGAACATCTCCTCTGCCTACAGAGAGAACATCTCCTGTACTACGTACCAAAATACATCTACCAACATATTCTGACATACCTTGAGCTTGACTCTGCATACTTGAACACAACGAACATATCCATCAATAGTGTGAAAAACTGCTTGTCACTATACCGAGCACTGTGACAGCCTCTTCATCCAGCGTAACGTTATATCTTGCTAAAACTACCTTTCCCTCTGCGTCAGAAAAATCTCTAACCAGCCAACCGTTATAGAGACGGTACATAGACTTTATGTTATTAAACTCCTCAATTACAGACTGGATATCATCGGCCTCGAATTCATTCAATTTAAGTTCGACACCGTCTTGAATCAAATTCTTGAGTCACAATACGAAAAGGAGATTGCTGGCGAAATCATCGTGTGACCCAATACAGTAGCGAAAGTTGGAGACTGTCTTCGTATCGAGTCGACGTCTTCGAATCTTGATGCACTCCTTGGAGAATACCACGATGGCTGTGTGTTTCTTGAAACCACGTAAGAACACTTGGATAGTACCATGGCTTGGGTCCTCAAGACATGGCTTGAGGAGAATTCAGGCCAGAAGATCTCCATCACTGCTAATACCGTCCCATTATTGTATGAACCCGTCAGATTCTTACTTCTCAAACATCGTGCGAACACTGTGCTTCTGACAGACGAAACTGTAAAAGCTTCTCGAATCGATGATGAACCGAGAGATCTCACCAGGTAGCGTATCCAGCTTGAGCACGAGGCAAGGTGCTGCCTCTTCACAAATCAAACGGCAAATGGCCAGGAACCACACTGGCAGCATTTTGACAACAAGTACCATGTATGATCATGGTATCGCTTTCTCCTCGAATTTGCACTTGAAGGTCGGGTCCTTGAGCCGGTGGTGACAAGCAGAGATGTCAATCTGCTCATGTACTGTGTATCGTAGCTCTACAGGAAGGTCTAGGAGCCGGAAAGCCTTGTCTGACATCGATGAACAAAATAGCTTGGGTGAGGGTATTGAGATTGCTATATAGCAGGGTTTGGAGTGACAGTAATTGAGGCTTGCTTGGTGCGGTCGGCCAGATGTAGGAGGCCGATTGTAGTGAGTTTGTTCCACAAAGGGAATGGGAATTTGATATTGGACAATGACTGAAAGGTAAAATGGCAAATGCTCAATTACCGCGGGAGACGCTTTGATGTTAGTCGCTGCTTGTCGGGGCTCCTTCTGGTCACAAGGAGCACTTGTCCCATATGCGACCGTTGAGAGTCTTCCTAAGAAGCGAGAGCAGGTTCTTTCGAGTGCCTTGGGGTAATTGATGAACAAGCTTCGTGACACGTCGTGCATGACAGCAAGTCCATGAACACGGGCGCGTCGGGACATCTCGACTCGAGTCGCATAACTCATATTGGGTATCTTAACATCTTCATTCTCATCTCTTCCCCTTCTTGCCCTTTCCCTTTCCCTTGGAACCCCCACCGCCTGTGATACTCTGCACATCCTTCTTACTCAGACTCAGTGTACCGCCCCTGAACTTTCCTATACTGGGTCCTCCAACACCCCTCTCCCTCTTCTTCTCGGGTGCCTTCTTAGTGACTCTGTTTTCCCTCTCTAGAACGATACCAGCCTCCCTGGCCTCTCTCCGCCTCTTCTCTTCCGTCGTTCGTGCCTTGTCTATCATGTGCTTCCGCTGTGCCATTGGCATTTTCTTCTGCGTAAAGATTGAGCCCTTGGCGCCGAGGGCTTGAAGGTGCAGGTCTTGCGATTTATGGCGTGCGACGCCCGTGGTGGTGAGCGTGGGTGTCGAGGTACCGGAGGAGGACGCGGAGAGAAGGTGTGATTCACGAAGGAGTTTTTGGAGTGCCATGTCGTTTTTCAGATTTGTGGTTTCGTTGGAGTCAGGATCTTCTTGCTTCTTCTTGTTGTTTGTCACATTTTTGGAGGACGCGGAAGCTGAGGTAGGCGGTTTCGACGACATGAAGGCTTTCATCTCTGCCCGTTCAGTCTCATCAAGTTCCCGGCGTGGGTCTTGGTACTCGACGACTTGGACGCCATTTTCGCTGTCGCTTATGCCTGACCAGTCTGATTCTTCCTCGTCTGGTTCTTCTTGTACGGGTGGTTCCTCGATCTTGGGTTTCTTGGGCTCTACGGGTAGAGGCTTGAACTTTGCTTCGAATGCGCGCCGGAATATCGCCTGGAGGTCTTCGGCGCCGGAGTCATCGCCAGAAGCGGAAGAGGGAGAAGGAGATTGCGACGGTTGCTCGAGTTCTGCGCGCGTTACGCGCTTCCGTTTTCCGAGTGCGGGCGCCATGGTTGCGTCGTGGTGTTGAGCGCGCAAGATGGGCGATCCAAAAGTTCGACATGGGAAATTCTTAGCGTCAATTGTTCGCTCGGACCCCCGTCCTTCACTCAACCCCTCCCCCGCAGCATCCTTCTACACGCATCACAATCCCGTAGACTACACAATGACGCGTTTTCGTCCCTGTATAGACCTGCACGCCGGAAGCGTCAAGCAGATCGTCGGTGGCACGCTCAACACCACAACCCCCGACGTCCTGAAGACAAACTGGACCTCGGAACATCCATCCGCCTTCTACGCTGACCTGTACAAACAACATGGCTTGACAGGCGCACACGTTATAATGCTCGGTCCTGGAAACGACCAAGCAGCTCAGGACGCATTGGAAGCATGGAAGGGTGGCATGCAAGTCGGTGGAGGAATCACAGAGAAGAATGCAGCCGAGTGGATCGAGAGAGGTGCGGATAAGGTGAGCTTTACACAATCAAACGACATTGGCGACTATGAACAAGAAACTGGACTAATCGAAGCGCAGTAGGTGATCATAACGTCGTACCTCTTTCCCTCGTCTACCTTTTCCATGGACCGCCTGCAAGCCGTCCTCCAAGCCATTGGCAACGATAAAACCAAACTCGTCATTGATCTTTCGTGCCGAAGGAAAGACGACAAATGGTTCGTTGCGACGAACAAGTGGCAGACTATCACCGAATTTGAGCTGAACCAGGGTACATACACCCAATGTCTATCTTAATGCCCAACAAATGTGGCTAACATACATGCATAGAATCCATATCCCTCCTTGAACCGCACTGCTGCGAATTCCTCATCCACGCCGCCGATGTCGAAGGTCTACAACGCGGTATCGATCACGAACTCGTCACTAAGCTAGCAGAGTGGTGCAGCATACCCGTCACATATGCCGGTGGAGGTCGTTCACTCGAAGACCTAGAGTTGGTGAAGAAATTGAGCAAGGGCAAGGTTGACCTGACCATCGGTAGCGCCTTGGATATCTTTGGCGGGTCAGGCGTCAAGTTCCAAGATTGCGTCAAGTGGAATGCGGAGCAAGCATGAATGACAAGACTATGTCATGTATCGCACAACACATCGAACAAATCAGAACAAGTGCAAACTATTGCATTTCTTCCTTCTCTTCGAACATCAAATTGCCTTTTTTTTATCAAAGGCGAGCTAAAGCTAAGCTCGCTCTAGCTACAGTAGCCATGCATGCATCAAACTCCCACTGAAGAAGAAAACCCCTTAACCCCAGAATCGTGTTACTCAATCAAGCATCCTAGAACCATGGGAAGCTCGCTGCAAAATGTGATGTGAGCGAGGAAAGACGTGTAGTGCGCGCGCAATAAAATGCCTGGAATTAAACCTCTCCAATCTTCCTCCAGGTCTTACAAGTTGTACAGGAGGACAAAAACTACATGTAAAGAAGGTGTAAGGTGGTTGAGTGTTATGCCGATCAAACCATATCGTCGATCACGCGTCGTGTTTGAAGACGTACGTTCTCATCTGTCGCTGTTAGTGAATACCCAATGAATAATCTTCAATGCGGCAACTTACCTTCTTCAGACACCAGCCCGTGGTGTGCCAACCGCACTCGTCATGGTGCTCATACCACCACCAGTGACACTACCACCATCGTCGTAATCTTGCCACTCTGGAAACTCTGCCGTCGCTTCCCGAAGCTTGTCGAGTGCAGTCTGCTCTATCAGGTTGGCATCTTGGAAGAGCAGTGACGTATCCTCATTGTATGTGCGGCAGTTGTTACACAGCAAGCCTAGATCTTGACGGAACTGCTTCACAGACTGGTACTCCTTCTTGTTGATCTTCTTCTCAATCTGCTTCATGCAGATGGGATTCTTGATCAGCTGGTAGTAATCTGGGTAATCCCACTTGTCTGGAAGCTCAATAAATGGGTCGATGATACCGCGATTGGGGATGTTGGGATCTTGCGACTCTTCCTCCAGGTCGTTGAGAGCTTCGTAGACAACATTAACAACCTTCTGAAGCGACGCTCTCTGGTCAGGGTGTAGCATGTCCTTGGCTGGAGCGGGCCGGCCACGCTTGCGAGGTGCAAGGTCAGCATCGAGAGAGGCTTCGTCGGCTTTGCGCTTCTCAGCCTTGGGTTTGCGGCCTCGCTTCTTCGGCATAGGTTCCTCTGAGCTGGCGCGTGATGGAACTGGCGAATCCTCTTCACCTGCCCTTCCAGTCTTATTCCTACCTCGCTTGGCGACCTTAGCTTCTTTGCGGGCGATAGCAGCTTCAATAGTATCTTCATCGTTGTCGACAGCCTCCAACCACTGCTCCTCGGTAAGACCATCATCATACTTGACGCGGGTACGCTCTCGAGCACCACGACCAGCAGGTGTGTCATCCTTCTCATCGACGATGGGAGCCTCCTCGTTCAGGTAAATGTCTGGCAACTCACTCTCGCCGATCAAGCGACCAAGCGGTTTGCCGGGACCATATGGATCTTCCGCCAAGCGCTTTCTGTCCATCTCTTGGAAAGTTGCCAACTCGTGATCGTGTCGCATCATAATCTGGTTCAGATCATCATCATCCATCTCTTCCTGTTCAAGGCTTTCTGCGGCTTCAGCAGACTCCAACATGATTCGCAACATGGCGTCTCGCTCGTCGTCCTTGGACTTGTTGTCGAATTTACCAGCTTGAATAACCTTGCCATCCATGTCCAGCTTGTAGTTGGCTCGCTCAAGAATCTTCTCCTCAACAGAGTTGGAGGTAATAAGACGCAGAATGCGGACCTCGTTCTTCTGACCGATACGATGGGCACGATCCTGGGCTTGCAAATCCTGGTGAGGATTCCAATCAGAATCGTAGATGATAACGGTATCGGCAGTTTGAAGGTTCAGTCCAAGACCACCGGCACGCGTGGATAGCAGGAAGCAGAAGTACGGTGAGTCGGGAGCGTTAAACAGCCTCAGCAGATCAGATCGATCATCTGCTTTAGTCGCTCCGTCCAGACGCAGGTACATCATACCTCGCAACCGCAAGTAGTCCTCCATGATGTTCATAATCTGTGTCATCTGGAAGAACATGAGGACACGATGACCTGTGGCTTGGAACTTGGGCAGAATTCGGTCAAGCAGTTCAAACTTGCCGGCTGCACGCCACAGAAGATCGTTTGTACCCTTGGTTGGGTTCATGACGTCTTCAACCTCTTCGAATACGAATGGATGATTGCACAGCTTACGCAACTGCATCAGCATATTGCTCAATCCGCGCATACCAGTCTTTCCGCCCTTGCCGTCGCTGACCATGAGTCGGTTGTGTGTGACAAGTTGCTTGTACAGCTTCGCTTGGAGCGTCGAGAAGTTGCACTTGATCACACGCTCGGTCTTGTCGGGAAGATCCTTCTCGACATCACGCTTGAGACGACGGAGCAAGAAAGGCCTGAGAACCTTATGAAGACGACGAATGACGAGCAACTGCTCTTCTTCAGTAAGCTCCATCTTGTCTTGACCTCCAGTATTCGCAAAAGGAGTGTTGAACCACTCGTCGAAGGAAGTAGCCGACTTGAAGATGGTAGGAAGGACGAAGTTCAGCATAGCCCACAATTCCGTAAGGTTATTCTGCAGCGGGGTACCAGTAAGAATGAGACGATAACGCGTCGTGTAGTACTGTGTGATGGTCATGCTGAGCTTTGAACCGGCGTTCTTCATACGGTGACCCTCATCAACAATCATGTGTACCCACTTGATCTTGCTGAGAACTGGCCTGTCCTTGATGATAAACTCGTAGGTTGTGAGCAAAACCTGAAATTGGCCCCAACGAATCTGCTGCTGATATTGTTTACGTGAGTTTGGAGGACCCTTGTAAACAATCTTGGTGACACTGGGTGCCCACTTCTCAAACTCGTTCGTCCAGTTGGTAAGCGTACTAAGCGGCACAATAACCAAGTAAGGTCCTGGTTGTCGCTTCTTCTCGATGAGATAGGTAATCAAACTGATGGTCTGAATAGTCTTTCCGAGACCCATTTCGTCTGCAAGGATACCGTTCAGATTGTTGTTGTACAGGGATATCATCCACTGCAGACCCTTCAGCTGGTACTCCTTCAAGGTACCTCCAACCAAGTTGGTAGCCTGTTGTGTAACCTCTTCCTTGACACGATGAGCAATCTCGTAGTAGTCGGTCTTCTTCTTGCCTGGGCGGTCTTCATCGCCAGATTCGGCATCGCTCTCCTCTTCCGGCTCCTCCGGCTCGTATGAGTTGTTTGCAGACCGTTGCTGTGCCTTGACGGAGTCGGCGAGTTGCTTCAAGAAACCATCGGTCTGCTTGAGCAAGTGCGAAATACGAGTATCCTTGGCTTGGCCCAAAAGCTTGAGGTAGGTCTCTTCGTCGTTGGACTTGAGAGCCTGCAGACGCTGCTTGGCGGTGCGCTCGATACGCTTTTGCTCTTCCTTCTCGATGTTCTGGTGTGTTGTGATCATGGTACGGCCGAGCTTCTGCAGACGCATGCGCTGAGCGGCGCCAGCTTCCTGCAACTCTGTGCGGTGCTTGCGGATAGCATCGATAAACTCGTGATGCTTCTTCTTCTCCTTGGTCTCGCGTGCATCGCGTTGCTGCTTCTCTAGCTTCTCGGTAAGACGGGCTTCGCGCATCGATTGCTTCTTAAGGCGTCGGTATACTGTTCGGTTCGCTGTCATGGCAAGGTTGTCAGCATGGATCATTTGCTGGGCAATCTCTCTCCGCAGCTTGCGCTGCTTCTCCAGTAGGTTGAGCTTCTTCTGCTCGATGACCAGAGCCAATTTGACCTTTCCATCGTCTTCAGGCGTATCGGTCTTGCTGGTATCCCAGGAACCGATGTTCGCGTGAACCTTCTCCAACTCGGCCTTTCTCGCCGTGAGTCGGTTGTAAAGTAGGATTTCGCGCTCCTTGCGCATTTCCGCCATGCTCTCCTGAACCGCATCAATGTCCACACCCTGGGGCATGATAGTCGCGAGGTATGGTCGGTTTTTGCGCTGAGTGTGAGAGATGTAGTTTACATCGCGGAAAGCTTCGCTACTCCAGGGATCGATGAACGTGTCTGGAAGGCGAGGTAGAGTTCGAGTTTCCTGTACTGCGCCGCCAGTTGCGCCCGGGGTGCTGCCTGCGCGGGTGGCATTATCGAGCATCTGGGAAGCCGCAGCTACAGCCTCGGCGGCATTCTGGGGCTTTTTGGCTTGATGATGACCGAAGATCTGCTGTTGCATGTTGGTTGGCAATGGCAGACCCTTGGAGAGATGTTTGAAAGCTCCAATTTGAGCACGTAGCATAAGCAGCTGGTCCTTGGACAGCGCCATCGAACCACTGGTGGCCGATGTGGGAGTCTGTCCATCGGAAGGAGGAGCTTGCCCACCAGCAGTCGCAATTTGCATGGTAGATGAAGGACCACTAGAAGCAGGCGCAGGCGTAGCGACCTTGCCATCACTAGCAGCAGCAGGCTTGGTGCCGTTGGACATAGCCATGCTGGCGCCATTTTGCTGAGCAGCTTGAGGATCCATCTGACCCTGCTGGCGCTGCAGCTGCTGTTGCCGTAGCATCTTCTGCTGTTGCTGGAACTGGTTCTGCTTCTGCACCATGGTGAGAAGATTGCGCGCCTTGATGAACTCGGGGTTGGTCTCGGGTACGCCTTGCTGCTTCATCGCGGTGTAGCGCTGAGGGCATTGTTAGCGATGTTTCGATGCGTAGATAATGTCTAGTAGCGCAAAAAGCGTAGAGAGGTACGTACCTGGAAGACATGTTGGATCTGCTCTCGCGTGATGTTGGCGGCGAGCGGTGCCTGCCCAGGCATTTCTGAGTTGGGTTGAACCGACGCCATGGTGATGGTGGTTCAGTGTGTTGGTTGGGGTGTGCAGTAAACAGCCAAGATACGGGATATCCACGCTCGAACGCGGTCGCCGTACGGGGTCGGGGTCGGCGAAGATCGCGCAATTAAGAAGGGAAAGACAGTCGCGGGAGGGTTGGTGGCGCGTGCAGCGGTTCTATGACATTATCGTGGGGCGTGGTGGTGGTGGAGGCCCTTTGGTCGATGAAGCCGATGAAAGACCTTCGGGGGTCCGCCGTTGACAGAGTCGCGTTGTGTGATGAGGCTGAAGGGGGAGCGCGCAATTTCGGTGTGGGGGGTGGCAAAGGCGCAGACGCGCTCTAAAAGCGTCGGAAACCGCTATACGCGTCGTGGACAGCGTGTTGCGGGGATGTTGAGATGCGGGCGCAAGTCTTCGTGATATCGGGATGGGTGGTGTTGGACGTCTGCGGACGTCCACTCTAGCCTGAGCGTTGTTCGCGCAAACAAGTTAGCGCTAAATGGCTTGGCAAGATCATGTGATGGCTCGATTGGGGCTGGGCCAATCAGCGCGGAGTCGTCTGCTTGCTGCAGTTATTCACTCTTCTCCAGTCGCCCTCATCGACTTCTTCTACAGGAGTCGTTGCGCTGTGGGGTAGGGAGATAAACAACGCGCTTGACGTGGACTAGTGCCGCAATAAGCCACCGCATCGGAGGCGGAGGAACGAGTGGAGTGCGTGCCACGTCCAACGACCCCTCCAAACCTGCTACCACGGTCCAGCGAACATCAAACCCGTCTTACTTTCCTTCCCAACCTAGTTCCAGTGCTATGGTTCGTACTTATTACTTTTTCATCGTTCTAGACGCCTTTTCCCGATACTATGCCCACCGTAGCCGCTCTATCAGATGGAAAAGCCTTTGGTGGTGAGAATTCTGGACCCGCGCTGAATGGCGGTGGGAGGCTTTCAGCGCGCGCTCTAGCCCGTCCATAACGCTCTACTGTGTACATAGCGAACTAACAGCAAGGCCATTGAACAGCTTTTCACTTGAGTGTTCACTGAATCTTGTCTGGCGAAACGTCACACTTTACTCGCACGTTCATCTGTCTCAACCTTTGTAAAGTTGGCCCCTCGGTACCAGATAGATAGCCAGGGTTCATGTCCACAGGATCATAATTCTGGCAAATAATCATTTAGCTACGAACGCGTTGCTAACTATGTACATGTCCAAACCCAACTCCGTATCACTCATTCCCTAGGTTCGTACCGTAAGGTACTAAGCCTAAGTAAGCGTGGGGGCAGTCCAGTCAATGTATGTCGCCGCATCAGCGCCTGATGGGCCCTTCTCAATGTTGGCAGTGTTTGAGCTCTGGCCGAGCAAGAATTTGTTGATGAACGCAGTAAGGTCAGCCTGCTGGTTGGATGGAAACTGGCAATGGTTGTGGTTGCCGGAGCCTGTAAAGCCCATGTTATCTGGTACACCAAGGGCCTTGTAGATGAGGCGACCGGCCTTCATACAAGCGGTCGTGGATACAGGGCCAAGCCAGTCAATCTCGTTCTCAATGACGAGCAGACCACGTGGAGCAACCATACCGGCGAGCTGATGGTGGTCGGTGGCCAGGGTGTTGGACTTGGTGCTGAAGGAGTTAAACCTTGTGGAGAACCATACATTTTCGCCAACGATTTGGCTAGAGGTTTGGATGTTCTTTCCCTTGGCTTTCTCAGAGTCGGAGATGCGCCAGCAGGCGGCACCACCAGAACCAGACTCCTGAGGAAGACCCAGAGCAATGCGGTCGACAAGCGCAGCGGCGACAAAAGCACCCTTGCCGTTGCGAGAGCAACCAGTCACACCAACGCGCTTCGGGTCGATACCAGCACCAGGAGTAGCCTCGAGAGCATCCATAATGCGGTCAACACCCCATGCCCAAGCAGTGAGAGCACCAGCACTGTGGCTGGAGCCGTACAAGTCAAAGAATTTGCCCTTTCCACGGCTGCTACCACCCTGTTGCTGGCCGATTTCATCGTTGTTAAAGGTGATTGTCGCAACGTTGCTGGGAACAGGGAGACTGGCAGCGCCGTATGCAATTATGGCTGGGAAAGGTCCAGTCCCGCTAGGCTTCTTGATAGAGACCGAGAAAGTAACCGACTTTCCGCCCTCAGTCGAGGTAATGGAGAGCGAGGATCCAGAGAAGGTAGCAGTAACGCTTGATGGCTTCTTGGGGAAGTCACCAAGTTCCTGTGCCTGTATAGCAGCGCTAACCTCCTTGTTCTTGCATGCGAAGTCGGCTTTGGTGGCAACAGCCCTTCCGTCAAAGAACTTGAAGGGGTTTGGCAACTTGGCGTTGGCAGTAGTAGGGAAGGTAGTTGGAACATTGCATGTGGCGTCCTGGCGCTGTTCGATGGCTGGCGCCGCAAGGACGGTCGTAGCAAGGAGCGGAAGTACAAGTGAGTATTTCATGTTGGGCGGACCTTGGTACTCGAGACACTGTAGGATGGTGATTGCTGAGGTACTCCTAACTCTTATATAGTGATCGTGGCCTCCGCAAGCATTCCGCATTCTCACGGCGAAATATAGCCACTAAATGAACCCGTGGAGATGACAAAGTGTGTTTCGTAGCGTGACTATGGGGCAATCAGGGCATAACGCCTTGGCTCATGCTGGTCTCCTCTACTTTCGCCACGCACTTGTGGAGCAAGAGCCGTCACAACAGAATGGCATAGACTCATAATCACCATATTCGGTAACCATCATTTGACTTTACATGCTAGTATCCTACGTTCACAACTCACAAAAGCTGACATGCTTTTGTTTTCCTATTATCGACTTAGTCCAACATGAGAAGTGTTGGACCTTTGATGTTTTCCAGGTAACCTACCTAGACATCTACGGTACTGCTATCATCACAGAGTACAGGCTTACCCTGCGTTGACAGTTCATTGATGGAAAATTTGTTCGTGATTTGTACAGTCAATACCGTCGATTGGAGTGCAAAAGCTCCCTTGAGCCGTGAGGAAACCACATCGCACTATAGCGCCCTTGGCCCGCCGTGTTCCCCAAAACAAGACGTGACCACTTAGTCTATGTTCAGATCCGGGTATTGTAGACTGGTATTGGCATGGCGCAGTGTAGCGAATGCTCTTCCAGAACTTCCAAATGGATCTCGTCAGAACATGGCGATCGATTGGGCATAGCAAGATATACGCACTCTAGAAACCCTGGTTCACCGTCTAATGGATATTAATACCACGATGGCGGCTCTCCATGCTTCCCCACGTTGCGGGGTGCAGTGGGGCGCTTGTTGAAGTGCCGTTTAGCCTGTTCGTCACCACGCAAGTTCACCCGGTATTAGATGATCGACATCCTTCCAGCTCCATGTAGCCTTGATATGTCCTGCGCAGAAGCTTGTTGTTACTTGTCTCGTCTATCCGTTGTTCGGGGATTTCCTCGTACGCAACGAGTTGGTAGTTCGGTCGCATTTGTTCCATTACCGAGAACGCTATGTCATGGTAGGGACATGAATTGGTTTTGCAGCATCCACTCGGGATATGGTGATATGCAAGGGTTAGTGTCGCACTCTATGTCTGGTTTGAGGTTTGCAGCATAGTGCTTGGACTGCATGCGCTTAGGATATCAGAACGCTGGATGTGAAGTTGCACAGTTCATGCTCCAAAATAGCTCCTGGATGGGTGAACCGCAGCGTCATGAAATTAACAACAGTCGATAACGGTGAGCTTGAAAAGCTACACGGTCCGTGTGAGTTGCGGCGAGTTTCGTTTCCAGGCTACAGACAAGTCTAGCGTGGCTTGTCGTTGAGAATAACTTCACACAAAGACGCGCACCAAGATAGTCATAACGGAGACCCGAGTCATGTGTAACGTTGGAGAAGAGGAAGGAGGAGTTGCACCTTGGAGTTTGGATGGAGTCCTGAGTCGCTCGCGCTTACCAGCCGCAGCGCTAGTGCTTCACAGCTTCGGCACCCCTCATCACGGGAGTTTCAGCAAGGCTCGCGAAATCTTGAGGAAAGCTATAAATACGAATTTGCGCGATAGCATTCAGAGTTTTGCTGTCGTCAAGTTTGCATCATCGTCGATAAGAAGAGAAGGAAGCACGTTCTAAAGTTTAACTGGCTACATCTAAAGCAAGTCAAGCTGACCAAGCCGCCACTCATTGGTCACTCTCCTCTACGCCCTATCCATGTACTGAACCAAACCAACACTTATGAAGCGACCTTCCGATTTCACAACGACCGATAGTTCCAAATCACTCAGAATGTCAAGCGAAAGACAAGCGGCGGATGCTATCCGATTCTATGACTCGAAGTCCTGGGATTACGATGCTACCTGGCACAACGACTTCACAAGGCGATTCATTTCCTATCTCGACATACAACCAGGCCAACAAGTACTGGATTTGGCGTGTGGCACAGGATTGTTGACTTTCCGTGAGTCAGAGGCTGTAGGGCCGCAAGGACATGTTGTCGGAGTTGATGTCACCCCTGGTATGCTTGCAGTCGCTACTCACAGAAAGACTCAAGGAGGCGACAAATATGCCAATACGACTTTCCTCAAGGGCGATGCTTTACATCTGGACGAAACAGAAGAGCTCAGGGGAAAGCAGTTTGACGTCATAACAGTGGCTTCTGCCCTTGTCTTGTTCCCCAACCCAAAGACTGCCATCGAGCACTGGACAGAATTCCTCAAGCCTGGAGGGGTCATTGCAATGGACGCAACACATCCAAGGAACTTGGTCTCCGGTATGGTTCTCGAGAGGGTAGCTCGCAGATTGGAGCTTCCAATTCCATACAATCGATCATGGAGCAAATCAGAAGATACCTTGAAGCAGATGCTGGAGTCCGCGGGCCTGGAGATAGACCAAGTTCTTACTGTCGAGAGCCAAGCTGGATATGGCAGACGTTTTTACGATATGGAGCAATGGGACGACTTCTTCGTCGAAAATGTGATTGTCAAGGACATTGCGAGAACGTTTGCGAACAACGACATCCGAAGGAAAGCGCAAGGCATTTACAAAGAGGAGTGGGAAAAGCTGGCGATAGATGGCAAGATTGAGGAGATCGACTCTGTTTTCCTCGGTATTGCAAGAAGACGTGAGTAAGCCATAGTGGTATATTGACATAAAGCTGACGTGTTATGTAGCTGCAGACGGTTCGAGATACGTGCCGCAAGTCATTCAGGACGATGTGGTTTTCAAGGGCGGATGCCGCTGCGGTGGGGTGCAATACACATCGAGTGCTCCACCCTCAGATATCACGCTGTGTCATTGCCGCGCATGCCAGCAAGTATCAGGCTCTGGCTTCCTTCCATTCACGCATGTACCCCGAGGCAGTCTTTCCTTCACGCATTCGAACACGCGCCAGGTTCTAAGACTATCGGACGTTGTAGAACGAACCTTCTGCTCGGGTTGCGGTGCCCCGATATCCATGGTCTACACATCTGATCCCGACGGCATGGGGCTGTGCATGGCCACAGTCGATCTGGAGAGTCTCAAGACTGAGGTGGCACCCAAGGTTGTGAAGCATATCTTTTTGAGGGAGAAGGCGCCGTGGGTGGTATTGCCCGAAGATGGGACTGAGCGTTGGGGCACATCGGAAGATGCTCACCTGCTCATGCAGAAGTAGAGTAACTGTAATGGAGGTGTAGGCGCAAGAAAATGCGGTGAACTTTTTCAGGGTACGCCATTATTCGGTGTGAACTTTTGTGGGGTAGTGCAGTGGGCGAGTGTAGGTAACCCACTGATTGAGGAGACAGGTCTATGATCCCATAATTACAAGAGACGCGCAACTAGTGTCGCAGTCTCTGAGGCTTTTGTTGTTGAGAGAGCTTGCCTGGAGAGGTCTTCCCTGCTGGTTGTAACGCGTACTAGCCGTGCGCTAAAGTTGCACGATGAGATGTTTTGAAACGCGAACGCAAACAGAACGGATGGAAAGCAGGGTCGAGTGCATCTTACAGCTTGTCTTGCATTAGACCAAGGCAATTCGCAAGGGGCTATTGGGTTCTCTAAGCGACGACGGCTACGTGTTGCGGTGTGCGTTGCGTACATGACGGGGCCGCTAGCCCTCCCAGCCTCACAAAATCCAGATTCCCTGCCACGCTGTTTCCTGCCAACCACACGAAACAGCCATCGAGGACAAAACCTCGCCCTTTGCTCGACGAAACATTGAACCCTCTTTTTGCCTTTTGGTACACCACGATTGCAGTCAACTGCCGTACTGCACATCTTACACATTCTACCACCAGACACTCGTTGACCGCCGCTTTACCTTCCCACGACTCTCGCTCCTCGCTCTTATCGATAAATTCATCGTGTTGGCCGGGTTACCCTCAGCACCCGCCCCGCCGAGCAGCAAGGAAAGAAGTGCTTTCGCGTTTCACACATCTCCATCCGTCTGCTCGACAAATCGTTGGGCGACTGACACAGTCCTCGACCGCCAAACAGCGTACCGTCTAGCAATCCCGGCACCGGACGTTTAGCTGCAGTAGTTTGGAATGAGCCGCAACGCCCCTCACGACTTGGAGCTGCAACAGCCACCTCAGGCCCCTTATGCGACCCATACCTCGCAGCATACTGGCGTGAGATCCCCATCGTATCACACTCGCAAGCAGTCTGCGTCTGTGGTCAGCGAACAGGTGAACAAATTCGACGACGTGGACATCACCGGACTTCAACCACCACCTTCCGCTTTAACACCCACTACTGCAACTGCATATGACCCACATGCACCTTCCCCACTAGAGGACTTCCCTAGGACTGGCCGAAGTAGTCACCAGCGCACCTTGACCGGTACAATCTTCGACAACTTCAATCGCGCAACATCGACAATCCAACAGCATACTTCAAGAGCATCTTCACCTACAAAATCTCTGGCAAGCTTCATTCCCTCAAGAGGCGCTATCGAATCCAGCGCTAGCCAGCCTAAGATTAGGGCGCTACAGAACTGGTTCAACGGCTCCTCTGCGCCCGTGAAGCTAGGTGTCCAGCAACAGGACGACTATTCGGATTCCGGCTCCGAGTCAGGAGAGAGTTACGATTCCGAGTCCGAAGAGGAGGAAGAGGAGAGGGGCAACATGATGACCAACCTCTTCAACCGTGGCTCTTCCCTCACGAGGGGCACGTCGCAGAGCCCGATGCGATCAGATGATACCCACACACCGAGCAAGGCACCGAGCCAGCCCACCGCTAGCAGCAAGTTCGCATGGCTGTTGTCCACACAAAAGAATGCCGCCGTCCCCCCTCCACAGCAGTCGCCCACATACCACAACCCTGACGACGAGTTACTCAACTTGAACATATCACACTCGCTTTTCCCACACGGACCCGCCGATCCGCTAGCACCTTCGTCCTTCCACGACCTTCTTACCAACGCCGAAGCCCTCCTCTCTCGCTACCAGACCGCCTACCGCCAACTCTCTACTGCCCTGGGAGACGCACATGCCGAACAAAGCGCGCAGGACGATGAGCTTGATGAAGCCGAGACACGGGCAAGGCACCTGAAGATGCAACTGGAGACAATGGCAGCACGAGCAGCCGAGCAGGACGAGCAAATGCGCGTCCTCATGGAAGACCTCGCGTTTGAGAAGAAAGCTCGTCAAGAAGAAGAGGCTGCTCGTAAGAGGAGTCTGGCCCTCATTAGAGCAACACCACAGTGTGAGCACACTTCGTGCCAGGAGTCCGCCCGTCGACACAACCGTGTGTCAGGCTCAGAAATCAGCGTCGATTCTGGTTTCGAGTCTGAGAATGAGACCGACGCTGCGAGCGTATTCTCAAGAAGCTGCCTCAGCCCTACCGGTACCGACCGCTCATCCATTCTCGACAACGATATTCACGACATCACACCGAAGGGCCGAAAGCCTCAATCGCTACAACGGGGAAGCACATATGACAAGCCCCGAGAAGGCAAAGTCGACATCGCTAAAGGTGGATGGGGATGCGCCAACTGCCAGGGCGGCGCACAATCTGCTGTTTGGGGCCGCCTAGCGAAGGAGCGAGAGGAGAACCGCACGCTCAGACTGCGTGTTGAAACCTTAGAGGAGGCCGTCGATGGTGCTTTGAATGCCGTCACTGGCGCTTGGGGAATGTAAATATTCGTGTACGGGCATGACTTTGGCGTATATTGGCGTTTAGTATACCACTGTTTGACGATTGGATGACTATCAGATTGGTTTCAGTCTTTGGAATGTAGAACGCATACATAGAGTATCGTATAGCATCAACTACTACCCACCACAGTACCACTATGTGTACAAAACCTCGACATCACTTTTGCAATATGACAGACCGAGCGGCATACGTGGGAACTCATTGGGTATCCTTGAACTAATAACGACTCATTTCAACAGTACTTAAAGCTTCTGCTCTCCAGAGCAACATTCCTTTTCAACCAAAACCGACGCATTGTTCTTCGTGCTTGGTACGTCGATAGCCGGGTTGCGCTCGAAGAAGTCGCTGGGCTTGAAATGCACTTGGTAAATCTCGACAGGCATAACGGGCCAGTCTTCGACTCTGCTTGTCGTTAGTATATGCGCCGACTTTAATCAAAGGCGATGAATCTTACCGTGGGTTATGTGTCAGTCCGAACACGTTCCAGAGAACAAGATCTTCATTCTCGACATTATCCTTTCGTGCAGCCATGTCATGCACACCACCTTGCTCGAGCTGGCTCTGTAGCGTGAACCTACCCGCAGCGTATAGCTCGTCATCCTGGTACTTTGTCACCCACACGTGGTGGTTTGTGAAGAGCGCTCGTTGCGCTTGGATGCTACCTTGGCTAGCAAGTATCTTCTGCGTAGGGAGCGGTGCGAATTTGTATCCTACAGGGTTACCAGACTTTGGATTTTTCTTGGATGGGTTGATGATCTTGAAGACGCGGTGGTCGAAGGGATTGGCATCAACACCAGAGGACTTGTCGATGGTTGTCTTGCGGATTTCGTAGAAATTGCCATTGGGGTTGGTTTCCTTGTTCCAGGGAGCGGTGTGGGATTCTTCATAGAGGACGGTATTGTTGTGTCCGTCGATTGCCGGGTCAAAACGAGCGGCAAAGATGTGCTGGTGGTTTTGGGCAAGCACACCTCCTGATACGACATTGCCGTAGTCTGATGTCTTGCCTGGGTCGATGTTGACGACTGAGACGATACCAGTGGCTCGGACTTCAAGAGTGATACCACCAGCGGTGTCGAGCTTGTAGGCAAACACATACTCATAGTTAGCTAGGGTGATGATGAACTGAACGACGAGTTCTCGTAGTCGTGTTACTACTGCGCGTCCAGTTCTCCAGTTGGCTAATTTCTCACGTTAGTTCGTGCTGAGAAACTGTTTGGGGAGACTCACTGTGCTTCCAGCCAATACCATTGTCTTGCTCGTGAAGACAGACCACATTGGGGTGGACCTTTGGTTCGCCATCGGAACCAACGATGACCGCATCAAAGTATTTGATCACGCCGAGACAGTCGCAACCTAAGGAAAGGTTGTTGGCACAGTTACCAGCACCTCCGTCACCAAAGTCGAATGCTTGCTTGCGGTGGAAGGGTGGTCGTGCATCTGCGTACGGGACCGACATCTCAGAAATGCTCATCCGGTACATGATGCTTCTACCGTCATATTTGACGTTGTGTAGAACAGCCCCTTCACGCGGGTTAAATGATACTCTGAAGCTCCACTTCTGCCACTCGACTAGCGATTCGTCTGTAACCTTGAAGGAAGGACCCTCTGGTTGTGTAATGTTGATAGGCTTCACGTCCTGTCGAAGACCACCTTCGACCATCTCGGGGACGTACTCCGCACCTTCGCAATGGTCTAGAACGCGTTCGGAATGTGTCTGACCGGTGAGGCTATCGCCCTTTCCACCTGTGGCTAAGCGGTCAACGCGAATGATCTTCCTCGTTTGCGCGTCCATGACAGGAATTAGTGGTAAGGGGTAGGCGTAGAAGTTGGAATCGTCGTTTCCATTTCGTGTGTCCTGTGCAAAGCATAATCCTTGGAAGTATCTTCGGTTCTCGGCGCCAATGTCAAGACCACCGTATGGCCTTGTGTCGTTAGTAGTCTACATCGACAATTGAGAAGTAGGTACCTACCAGGGCTCAACAACCAACTCAAACCCATCAGGTAGCTTGAGCTCCTTCATGGCATCCTTGAACATGTCGCTCTCCTCACAAGCCTTGACCAGGTGTTGGAACTCCCACAGGGTCAAGCTGGCCTGCTTCTCCTTTCCAACAATCTCATGGCGTACCCTCTTCTTTTGTTCAATATCAATGACAGACTCGTGGTACTCTGGTATCTTGTCGGTTCCGATGACATCGTATTGACACTTCGCCAACCGCGCTGGTCGCTTGGAAGCTGGTGATTGCCCTGGCTTTGCTGCATATTCTAGGTCGAGGTATTGTTTCATGAGCTCCTTCTCGGGTTCTTGGAGGTAGATCTCTCGAAAGTCGACAACGCAGTCTTTGTGGAGGGAGAGGACAGTGTCACGCGCGATACGCGTCTCCTCTACGTTGAGGATCTTGAAGGGGTGAGGTGCCATGGTAAGACGTATAACCTGAATAAAGAATGATGATGTGATCCTATGCTCACCCTAGAGTAGTGAAGTGTAGATGGGAGGTCATCAAGTCCGATGGGATACCACCCAATTTATCTACAGGCATATACATGATGCCGAGCCCGTGTCCCAAAGCGTAGAAGCGGGGACATTGGATGATAGAGCGTGGCGATAAGTCCAAACACGTAAAGCTGTACCGCCGTCATGCTCTCTGGCGGAATATCGCATGTACCTACCACTTCTGGTTAGTGCGACATAATGGTGATCGAGTCCTGCACGCCCTGTCAAGCAATACACGAAAACAGATGTGTTATCTATCCCAACTCCTGTGACTCATGGGTATGAACTGGAAATCATGCGCTGTTGTTGTGTTTCTCGCGGAACGTTGCGTGTGAAAAGAGCAAACCGCTCAGCGGAATTGTGTCCGCTGTGGGTCGGGTTACTCGACTGGCTTGGGAAGAGACGCGATATTCTCTTAAGCGGAACATTGCCATTGCGCTGCCACAACAAGCTGGGCGATGGGTCTTGCCAATCTTTGCAACGGATTCATAGTCGTATCATGTAAACGAGTGATCTAGAGCATACAAGGAGATCGATGATACCAAGATTCAATCACGAAAGGAGTGCGATCTCGGAAGACATCTATACAACAGTGACAGAAACAATGTACCGGCTTGGCATGGTAGTGTGAAGACTACGTAGGCTTGTACTGAATCGGCTGGGTCTGTGTACGCTTGTCGTACATTGTCTATGGGTCTCGAGTTGTACATCAGGACGATCCCGAGGTCGCTATGAAGAGAGCCCTGGAGGTATTCCGCAGGACTAGGAAGATTTCTTAGCCGTACATTCGGTGTCATGCTGTACAGTAAAACTGCTTCAACATCAACATATTGTACGATACACTAGCCTATATTCTTCCGGCATTTATTGCCCTGCGGACGAAATCACAGTGGTGCAGTATTCGCTAGGCTTTCCTTGAATAGCAATATTGATGCCTAGGTGAGAACATGCATCAGCAAACCGTCTAGGCGCCGGTAGTGGAGATTAACGATCATTTCAGACAGTTTTCGTTAGTGCTACGGCTCTCGACTCGTGCATGACACTATACCCTAGCCAGACCGAAGACCCACAGACGAGGTTGGAGGCACGCCAGTTCCTCAATCTCGTGGAACAATAATAGGAATATAAAGCTTCTTTCTTCACTTTCTTCCATCAAATCACCCATCTCAGCTGTTTCAAACCTCGCATCGGTGGTTTAGTGGTAAAATTAGCCGTTGCCATCCTTCACAGGACAGTTTCGGCTAGCCCCGGGTTCGATTCCCGGCCGATGCAACTAACAATTTTCTTTTTGTCCTCGTGGACGTTGTGTGGTGGTTGTGGTGAACAGAGATGTGTTTTTAAAGGGGTGGTTGGAAGCGCACGTGACGATGTTGCGGTGGCTGGCAAGCGGCACTAGCGCCGGTTACCTCCGCACCAGCAGCGGCTTGCTAGACGTGGTAGACATTATCTAACAAAACATGCACAGCGGCTTTGGTTTTTTGTTCTTACAGTACCATCTGGCCTATACTCAGAAGTTCCAATACGTAGCGCTCGCTTTAGCTCTAATTACAAAGACTATTGCCTACACATGGACGCTGTTTCGTACGCTATAGAGATGGAATATGTGCCTTTAGGTCTACTGGAGGCCTAGTTTGTATGGCAATGGTCGTCAGTTTGTGCTTCAGTAGATGAGTTGATTGAATGGCCTTGATCGCTGGTATGGTATGCCTATCACCTACAGCACATCCAACACCTGGCAAAATTGCTCCTCATCCCTTCGCATTTCCAGCGATAGTAGCAGCCACCACACCCCCAATAGCAGCACCAAGCCCGATCCTCCTATTCTCCCTCTGCCCACTTACTCGCCATCGGTGACTCGCTTTCGGCACCACGACCCTCTCTGGCTCTGCAAGGCCCATCTGTCCCGGCGGCGCATGTTTGAGTTGGCCGTACTGCACTTTCCTCTTCCCAACATCCTCAAGTACCTGATCGAAATCGCCATGATATGCTTTTGTCTTGTCAGGCGCGATGATGGGCGCACCAAAGGCTTGCGATATTTCAAGCGGACCAAGAGTGACCTTGCGGCCGAGCTGCCAGAAGCCCCAATATACGGGTAGGACGAGCATAACGGTGACGAAAGTTGCTACGAGGGCGCCGGCGACGTAGGCGTAGGAGGTTTTGTATTGCTCAACGATACCGGTGACTGATGCGATGATTGTTTGGTTGGCCATCCCGAGGTCGCCGTCTAGGCTTTTGTTGGAAAAAGGCGCGCCTGTAATGTACAACGCTGTCACGAAGCTCAGGGTGTTGAGTTTGCGCAACACCTCGACGGCGGGATCGTCTTTACCTGGTTGGCTGACATTATACCAGCAACGATTGAGCGTTTCATCCGATTGGGCATAAAAGGTAGTCTGAGCCGAGGCGCCTCGAGCGACAATATCCCATGTGTCGTTGTTGTAAGTAAGATTCGCTGAGGATGCATAGAGGTTGTTCATGATGTATGTTAAAGCGCCGATAGTAGAGGGTTTACCGAACTGCTCTTCGAGATTGATAGTCTCCTTTACTTCAAGTTGGTCGATCTGCGTAATGTCGTCGAGACTCTCACCAACCTCCCAGTTGTCGGGGAGAGAATCATTAGAGAACTTGATGTGTGTGACAATGTTTTTGCCTTTTAGTTCTTCTTCGCTTGGTACCATAACAGTGACGGGATACTGAACGAGGGCGGGCTTGATCTCGCACCTACGGATAGTCATAGTACCCGGACAAGAGTGCTCGTCTTCTCCAGCTTTGCTATCGACGTACAGCATCTCGAGATCGATGCTGGCGTATGGTTTGGTCTCCGTTGGCCACGAGGCATTGAACTTGACATCCCACAGCGCATACGAGTTGTCCGATGGAGGTATGCCCTGTAGCTCTGATTCTCGTCTTTCATAGCCATAGTCTACCTGCCTGGATGTACTGGTGCAGTTGAATGAGAAGCCTAAGCCCTCGATAGCGCCATGACACTCTTGCCGAAAAGGGCAATCCCAAAAAGACTTTGTTTGGTCAAGAGTGTCATGCACCTTACCATTTGCGATCTTGCCGTTGTACGCATCCAGTACGTTAGCCCAAGCCTTATCGACGGTTTTGATATTGCCGTCCCCTCCGGGTATACCACCAGAATTCGCTGGCCAGTCTTTCTCGATAAACCCAGTCATAGTGTGGTTCATGTAGTCACTTTCCTGGGTGACGATAGTTTTTGTCGCTTTTTGAAATAGCGTACTGTCGATGACGGCGAACTTCGTCATAAGAGCGGCGAGAGCGATAATGTTGAAGTGTCTGCCGGAAGTGATAATCGCATAGAAGCTGTAAGAATACGCGTGATTCTGATGTAGTTTCCGGAGTGAGCTTCCGCGCAAGGCTGTCCTCCACCATGCGATAGCCAGCCCCTGACCAATCAATGTAACCAGCCCCAGGTTCTGAACTTGGTTCGCAATGTTGAGTAGTACGTTGGGTTGGGCGGTAAATCTAGTCTGTCAGTCTCTGTTTCATGTCTAATCAGCTAATTTGACTAACTTCGTAAAAGGCCAGTCATTGACTCGCTTTTCGTTAGACGTAGTCAGAATGATTACAGCTCCGGCAGTGGCCACGAGGATGACCATAAGTCCCGCGAAGCCGAGCCATGGAAATTGATGCTTAAAGCCAGGTCTCCAGTCAATACCGTCTATATCCGAATTGTGTTCGACATGATCAAACTTTTCGCTATAATCTTGTCGAGACGTGTTTGGAGATTCGCTAGAGCTACCTGTGTAGCTGGTGGAATTTTCGCGTTCCTCGGTAATAGCATCAATCATGACTTTGAAGTCTTCCTTTGGTGAACTGGGAGCAGTCTTCCAGCTATCCCTGTTGTGTCCAGAATCATTGTTGACCAAAACTGGCGACTGCGGGACTTCGCGTATCTCATTGTCCATTGGGCGATCTAGCATGTGGCAGCAAGACCACAGGTGAATAGAAGAAACGAAGCCCAGTGACCACTGAAGCTAGAGAAGCGATAAGTAGATGATAGGAAAACTTCGTGAAACAAAGAGAGAAGCAAACAATTCGCGTCGCGTGCTCCTGGCAGTCGTAGTACATATAGAACGATGTGGCACGGGATGCCGGTATATCAGCACAGGCCTTGCCGTCAGCCAGCCCAATGTTCATGTTGCATCTTAGTTATTTGTGGGGGCTGAAGCTCACCAGGAAACCCACAAAGGCTTAGAGACGTGCATGCTGGCGTAGTTGACGATTGGTTGTGAGTGCGTAAGGGACGCGGATGTCAGCCGCAGGAGGCTTGCCAACACACGCCTTACCCTTTTGAACCATCACAGATGCACGAAGCGAGATTGTCCAATCGCGGAGAGAATAAGATCGGACGGTCTTTGAGCCACGCCCTCCGCGTTAAGCTGGAAAGAACGAGTCGATTGCTAACAGGCGATTACATTCAGAGGCAACGTTCTAGCTCTTTCCCCTCCCCGCATCCTCTGAATTTGTGTTCTATAAGACCACGGTAAAGGATAGCCGAAAAGGGATCAAAGTAGTCGGTAGCAAAGATGGTCGGTGATTCCCAGCAGCCACAAAAGTCTTGGTTAATGCACATACTGTTGGCATATCAGCTCGGATGGTAGAGCGGTACAACACTAGCCTGGTTCCTTCAAGTGTAAGTTCCAAGAATAGAATTCGCATAAGGTCTTTAAAGCAGGTGTTTTCGCGAAACCTCAAAGAAGGATTTGGCCCCCCGAACCTTCCATTGCCGGAAACGCAAATGATGCGCTGTCACATTAAGATCTCAAGAACGCTTTGCGTCCCAGTTTGCCGTTTTTGCATATATTTGAGCGGCAATGTTTGGACTGTGCGATAGTTGCAGGAGCGGATGCATGCATCGGGGCATGCGGGGTTGGTAGTGCCAATGCCGGAAGTTTGCCTTCAGTCCTGCATTTGTTCATCGTCTGGCTCTTGCTCCTCCTTGACATCATCTTTCCCACCTTCTTCCTCTGGAGGCATAGACGTAGGGAACGAAAGATGTTTCCAATCTTCAATCTGCGAAAAGTTAATAACTCTAGTGCAGCAAGAGAAAGATATTACACACCTCCTCGGTGATGCTCTTCAGACGGTCACGGATGCTCTCCACAGCATAACTACCCAAGATCAATCGTAGCGGAGGATAACTACAATGACCTAATTGCCATACCAACTCTGCACTCTTTACAGCGCTGACTGGTTGTCTGTCGTTCAGCCATTGTACCATTCGTCGCGCGTGTTGCGCGGGACTTGTCAGCCCCGCATATGGTTCGCTAGGATTCGGTTTCACGAAGAAGTGGCCATAACGCTTCGGCTTCGGAGGTCCTGTTCCAGGAGTAGGCGCCGAAGTATAGCTGGGTGGTAATATGTTATCGTCTGGTTCGTCCAATCGAACATGACCGGGCTCGACCAATGTTGCTTTGATGTTGAAGATATCGACCTCGTACAACATGGACTCTATCAGACCCTCAACAGCGTACTTGGTCGCACAATACGGGCCGAGTCCCGGCACGCCAAGTGCTCCAGCCGTGGACGAGAATATGAGGTATCGACCAGAGTTCTGGGAGCGGAAGTACGGGAGGGACAACTGCAAGATGTGAAGTGTTCCGAGGAAGTTTGTTGTGAATTGATTGCGCAGGTCGTAGTCGTCCTGGTCCTCGCATGCTGCTATGACGCCGTAGCCGGTGCTATTCGCTATAACATCCACCTGACCCCAGTATTCGATGCTCTTCTTAATGACCTGATCTACTGTCTCGCGCACTCTTACGTCACACAACAGGCCCAGGCAGTTCCTGTTCTGCCATTTGTCCATCTGTTCTGGTGTGTTCTCCTCGGTCCATCCCACTGCAGTGCATTGGTCGCCATGCGCTAATATCGCTCGAACGAGGGAACGCCCCATATGACCGGTCGCCCCGAAGACCTACATTCCGGAGTTAGCTACCGATGACCAGGTGGCCTATTCAGTGACTTACAATCCATACTGCTCGCTTGGGTGGATTGTGCTCAGATGGTGGGTCGCATGTTGCTGGCAGGATGAGATTGGGATTGTGAGTGGCCGCGCCTGGCGAAAGGCTTTGGCTTTGGGTATCGAAATCCATAGCGACGTTGAGGAATCTCTACAATGATATGCGATGTCGAGCCGGTGCAGAAGGTGGGGAGCTTGGCAGCCAATCGGACTTGCAACTGCCGCTATCTCCGTGTGCTTCAAGTGAAGGAGCAACGAGGACGCGTGGAGGGACGGGGTTCGTTGCGCGATTGATGCGCATAATGTATCGTGTCGCCTCGGAATAAACATGTCGGATGACCATCGTAGCTGGACTTAGCATTCAAGGCATGATGAACCTTCTCTCGTCGATGAGGAAGCGCAGCCCCTCGATAACCAGGTGGGCTGGGAAGGCCTGTTGTCGGTTCATGAAGTTGCTGACCAGAATGAAGAACATGACAAAGATATCAAGGTGCATAGGCGAAGTGAGGAAGAAGTGGTATGCGAGGAACAGAAAGGCCTGGGCCCGGTATCTGCTCTTGATGGATCGGATGACTCTGTTTGCCTTGATAGCAGCGGCGCGGTTGGTAGGGGTTTTGAAGGTGACAACCTTGGAAAGGAGGGGCATCCTAGGCAGAATCGAGGTTTCAGGCGGCTCTGAGTCTGGGGAGACCTCGGGGTTGCGGAGAGACTTGGTGGAATGATTAGGAGGCTCTCTTATCGATAGAGCTCGGTCCCTGCGCGGGCGTCCTTCCGATGCACAATTACGTCTGTCTGCCTTCTTCGAGCCCGTTCAATCCACAACCAACATGCAATTGTTCCACCGATAGCAATATCAACCATGGTCAAAGCAGTGCCCACACCTGTGGCGCTGCCGGTCACACAGGGCAACTCGTCCTCGTAATTACACCTTCATTCCATAGAGGACCCCGCTAACATGCTGTAGACTTTCCTTCACGCAAGGGTTCCTGCTCGGCCAGCTTTCAATCGCGATTTTGATGTTTTGTTTCATAAAGTTCTTCATCTTTGGAGAGCCACCATCTGCCGACGATCGCGCGTTACACCTCAATTCCCTCCGCCGAGCTCGAACCCTAGCACACCAACAATCGTACAAGCAACTAAGGACGCGCGCAAATTCAACGTCCCTGTCTCTACGCCACAAACCGTCAAGAAGCATAATACGAAAGGGCGAAGAGAGCAGAGGAGGACCAAGCATCACAACTATCCTCGCGAAGACCTACTACAACGTAAAGGGACACCAACCGGAGAGCTTAGACTGGTTCAACGTGCTCATTGCGCAAACAATCGCACAGCTGAGAGCCGACGCGCGGCAGGACGATGCAATCCTCACATCGCTCACCGAAGTCTTGAACACGGGCAGCAAGCCAGACTGGATTGGCGAGATCAGGGTAACGGAGATAGCGTTGGGCGATGAGTTCCCCATCTTCAGCAATTGCAGAGTAATGCCTGCAGAAGACGGGTTTTGGTACGGGCCGGGAAACACAGGGAACGAGAAAGAGAGACTACAGGCACGGATGGACGTTGATTTGAGCGATGTCATTACCATTGGCGTTGAGACGACACTGAACTTGAACTGGCCGAAGCCCATGTCTGCAGTCTTGCCCGTCGCGCTTGCTGTGAGCATTGTACGGTTCTCTGGGACACTGGCCGTGTCATTCATACCCTCTTCGTCACCTCCACCTACCGCTGCGCCCATGACCTCGCCAACGTCCGAGACCCACCGAGGTTCCTCTCCAAGCCGTCCAGCATCATCATCTGGCGCACCACCACACCGACCTACAACATTAGCGTTCACCTTCCTAGATGACTATCGCCTCGACCTCTCTGTCCGTTCCTTAGTTGGCTCAAGATCCCGCCTACAAGACGTACCAAAAATCGCCCAGCTGATCGAATCTCGCGTCCACGCTTGGTTCGATGAGCGGGCAGTAGAACCCCGCTTCCAACAAATCGTGCTCCCCTCACTCTGGCCCCGAAAGCACAACACGCGAGGCGGAAGCGCCACCGAAGACGCCGACGCTGCAGCCGGAGAAAACGAAAATGACGAGGATGATGAGATCGCCGTCATGGAAGGAAACGGTACCGCTCCAGGTTCAACATCTTTCATCCCCAGTCCGATTGCTGAGAACGCTACTCTGGAAGAGCGTATAGAAGCTGAAGGCCAGAAAATGCGGGAAGCCGAGATCAGAGCTGGGGTTAGGAAGCCCAGTGCAAGTGACTCTCGTAGCCGGAGCAGGAATAATCGAGAAGATGGTATGCGATGGCGGGGTGAGCAGAGAGATCGAGATAGGCCGAAGGGACCGCATGGTCGACCGAAATTACAGAGTCGGACCACGACTGGTATTGCGGGAGCTATACCTGGCGCTTTGCCGAGAGGATAGGCATGAGTATCCTTATGATGACATGACTAGATGTGTATTATGTTACGAGCGGTGGCGTCTTGGAGAAAAGCGTGCTACAAGCATACGCGTGTATATAGTAATGAAGCTCAACATCACCAATGGTCATCTCTCACAGACATACATTCGATGTGCGTACATTACCAGACAACACAAGACACTGGCCATCACTGATGCTCACTTCAACGAGGTAAGTCGTATTGATTACACCGACTCATCTAGATATTCTAGCCAGCAAGGCGATCTATTCGTCAATAGCACACCTCGTAATACATCGCTAAGCCGACGGACGATGCATTTATCCCACAACAGAATGAGGGCAGAGATCGAGAAAAACGCCATGGGTATCTGTCGTTCTCTAGTTATGACAGGAAAGTAGATAGCAAGAAGGTGAAGATGGTTAAACATGGATCCTCAAGACAACATGTAGTAAAGCGGCGTTTGGAGGTACGCATACACATTTATCGCCCGTTGATAGTAGGAGTAGGTGCAGGCTGATGTGGTGGTTGAGCCTCGAATGTGCTAGCTGGAGCCTCCACTGGCGCCTGGGACTTTGGTGCTTCTTCAGGGGGAGTTGGTGCAGAGAAAACTCCATCGAGCTTAGGCAGCGCTTCTGGGTTGCCGGTAGAAGTTTGTTGTTGCTGTGCGACTGGGACTACTGGAGTAGAGATTCCGTTCATAGTACCTGCAGATGCAGGCGCAGGCTCAGGCTGTTTTGGTGCGCTGGTGCTGGTCGACGACGCGACTGTCGCAGCAATAGAATCGCGATCCACCCCATTTGTCATGGGCGCATCTTCTTCATGAGCAGGAGCGCCATCAGATGCACCTTTCCGGTAGCGTAGAGTGACCATGAGGCTGTGTTGTTCTTCCTCCTCTTCCGATTCCTCCACGGCATCGTCTTCGTCGTCGTCGTCGTCAAGATCCATCTGATCTGGCTCCTCTTCATCGTCATCTCCACCATCCCAAGAGGTCGCGTCCTCCTCGTCTTCCGAATCTACTGTTCGGTTGAATGAACGACCGTTTGTGGTACCCCTGTTGGCGGCGCGAGTCGATCGGCCATGGCCTGAATATGGTTCTTCCGACACATCAGATCTGACATAGTCGCCAGTCGCAGGCGATGCATGGTCTGCAATTTGTCCACTGAGCAATGTTTCGCCATATAAACCGGTTGCTCGAGATCGGACCTGTCGACCACTGGCGGTGACAGTAGGACCAGAAGGTGCAGCGGGTGTGTCGCGGCCCGACTGTCGCCCTGATCGGCGTACGGAGGTGTTGTCTGAATCGAAGTCGTTGTCTTCGTCAAATGTGTATCGTTGGCGCTTGCCACGGGTGCGGCCTTCATATAGGGAGAAACCAGGTTCTGGGCGGGTGAAGGCATCTTTGCGCTGGCGTGTGTACTCTCGTCGCTTACGTTTCTAAATGACTGTTAGCATAGGATGACTTGTAGAATGGACGAGGCGTACATTTTCTGAGGCCTCGAATCGTGGCACGGCGTTAAGCATACGCTCGCCAAGTGCCTTAGCCTCTTTGTGCCCATCTACTTCCTCCAGCTTCGTCGCAAGCGCCTTCAACTCATCAATGGAGCCGGCGACACTGATCCATTGTACGTTCTTGCGGCTCGGGTCGGTCTCGCGGTAGATGCGAAAGTGGGTATCGTTTTGTCCTTCGACTAGATAGTATCGACGCTTGTCACCATCACGGCCCCATGCTTGCACCGATAATGGGATGTTGGTATCTTGCTTGTCCTTGGTAGTGCGAGACTTGTATGCGTTATTGATCATGGCCTTGACTTGTTCGTTTTGATTGAGGCTCCAGAGGCAGAGTGAGTGGAGGAGGGTGATCTATGCGACGGTAAGCATTTGGCGGTATCAGGATAGATGACTACTTACTCGCTCTACTGCCGTCATTGTGTTGAAGTTGCGACCGCCGCTGAGGGGATTGCCAGTCCATTTGGTGGGCCATTGCGATTTTTGGGTTTGGATGGCTTCCTCGAGAGCGCGACCGTAATGACCCTTCCTGTAGAACACACACGTGTCAGCTTGTGCACTATTCCATCTACTGTGTGACGCCCACGCGACCGCGGAACGGGTATTTGTGAAGAGCGAAGGGGTCAGACTGACTCGACAGGTTTCTTGCGATTGAGGACGAGGCCGAGCAAGGCGCATAGTAAGCCTTCGACGTCGGCGGACGGTGTGTCTTCCGCGACACCCTGCTCGATGTCCTGAGGCCCTACAGAAGGGGAACCGCGAGGGAATGCTTCGTTGAAACGTGACCGGAACATTACGATAAACTATGGCACATGGCATTAGCGACGCCTGAGCGGACGAGTCGTGCGCGACTGCGGCGCAATGCAGCGCGTCACGACGCGACGGACGCGTCCAATACGTACAGCAATGTCTGGATTGTCCTCTGGTACAGGCTCATGCGGCGGGGACGGCGCCCGTTTTCTTGGAGGCGGCGAGGGCGAACGTTTGTTGAAAAAGGTCAGGATTGTGCCGTTCTTCTTCTTTTTCTGAGGTGCGGGCTTCGCAGCAGCAGCCTCTGGGACTTCAAGCTCCATCTCATCGTCAGTCGGGGGCGCAGAAGACAGAGACGAGTCTGAGTCGGCCATGGTTGCGGTTGTTTGGGGGGTTGATGTTGGTGGTTGTAATTGCGGCTGCAGTTGCGGGACGAGGAGAGAACTACGAACAGAGCACGGTTAGGCAGGCATGAGGTAATGCTACTTTCGCTAGCACAGAGATCGACTATATGGATCCCTGTAACTTTGGGGTAATCAAGACAATGAGAATGGCCACCCAGAGCGCCTTTGTTTGGTAAAGCGAGTGTCGGGTAGACAGCAACGAGAAAGGAGAGGTGCAGTCAGGGCAAACTTTGTATTCTGAGAGTATCGTTTGTCTATAGACCTGATGTTCGCGTAGTGCTGCAATTGTGTTTCGATTCGCATAGGGCGAAACAAGAGCGAAAGGAAAGCTATCAATTTTACCGTCGCTCTTCATCCGTTATCCCAGAACCTGCTTTATTGAGGTCTGCCTTGTGAACACGGCCTGCCGAGGTTCAAGAGTTCCACGATACGAAGTAATGGTAGCTTGAGCATACCTTGTATCCATTGAGATCAGCCTTGCGCCCTGTATCATTTCGTAAACCTTTTTTATCCCGGACTGTACAACTAGACGTGGAGATGCGATTGTCCTGATGGGATTGTGTATATCGTAGGCCTCCGTTGCCTATATAGCGCATCAATGCACGTTAGTGTTCATGTTTAGGGCCGTCTTGCTGATCGGGCAGGTGAACCCTCGAGACCACCGGTCATGCGGAGAATGCTTTACAACTCCACATAGGCAAATCGCAACAAGAGCGTGGAATCCTGCGCGGGGATCTTGGTAATGCTTGTAATGGCACATGAACCCCTACTGATTGGGTCCTTCTCTTGACATCTTCATAACCCGCATGAGCGGCATGAAGCGAAACATTGAGAAATGATGTTCTAGAGTGAGCCTGCCGAAGAGGGTGTTTCTCCGGGTGCGTAAATGGATCGGTGTTGGCTGCAGGTGTGCACATATGCGTCGGGCTTCTAGTCGGAACTTGGAACTAGCCCGCGCAATCCTGAAGTTGCAGCGCACATCTGCCCACTCCCTGTCACATACATGATGACAACATCTGCCTTAGCAATGAGAATATTGCGCAAGCGTGTGTCGTAATCAGAAAGAAACTATTTCCGATTATGTAGGACCGAGTGAGAGAGACTTTTCGTAGGACGAAGAAAAAGAGGCCATTTCAAAGATGCGCCAGAAAAGACATATGAAACTTGCTACAAAGGAACGCGATAGCGCAGGTGATGTGGTGTTGACTTGGCTGAGTAGAGACGCGAAATTGAGGTTGGTGTTCCACCCAAGCAGAAAAGATGGCGCTTACCAGGTCACGTGCGGCACTATGCACTGCTGGGCGAGCAGTTAGACGATGATGTCAGAGCCAGTATTGGATCATCTCAATATTCTCCTTTTTCTCCGATCATGGTCGCAACTTACACAAAAGGAATTGAGGAAAGCAAGGCAACGTGGGCAGACGCTGGGACTGTGATGGAGTGTGTATTCGCCGTGAGTCGATCGAGGGGAGATAGCGACTACATTGACCGCATATGCCAAGGCTGTTCAACGATATAGAGGTAGGCTTTTCAGCTCTGTCGCGGCGATTGCAGAGGCCAGGTGATATATTGCGTCTGCAAGACAAGACCGCTTGACCTGATAAGGGAAGGAGATTGGAGTTCGCGTTGTTCCTGGCTGCATATTGAGGAGTCTGGAAGGCGCACTAGACTACCAACATGCGCTTCTGTAGGTCCATGTAAATCCCATGGCGGCGCGCGATAGGGAGACAAACCGAGTAGGAGCCTACTGCTGATGCCGGTGATTTGCTCGGTGACTTGCGCAGAGGACAGAGAGCAGCTAAGAGGGACGCTTCATTGGTACGGGTGGCGACGGTGAAACTGCACATCCATCATGTTGCGCTTGCTTGCGCAAACCATGACATGGACTGTGCCAAGAATAGAACGAGGGGGACGGTCTGCGGTAGCAAGTTGGATGCAATGTGTGGCAGGGCGGGTGAAACGGAGGGCATGCCTACAGAGGGCGATAGTGGGTGGGTTGGCTGTGGTGAGTAGACGGAGCGCCGGCGGAAAGGCCTTAGGGCGGCAAACCCCGGAATAGCGACAGTCGTCCCGCCCATGTCAGGACTGGCTGGGCCGCGTCTTTGGGCGACGCTGATCACCGTTGGAGACACCTAGACGGTCTGTGGTTTCTGGAATAATGGGTCAGGGTCGCGCCTGCTTAGCCTGCGATATTGACACGCGTTGGCTCTCAACTTCTGCCGTAGGTCGCCCACTATTGCGAAACCTACTCTCCTGACTTCAACTATTGTTCTTGCCCGCGGCGAATCTGCCTCCTCCTTTCTTCTCTGCTCCCCTTTCTCCGTGTCTGTCGCTGGGTGTTGATCGTCCCGCGCCTGCCTCCCTGGCCCGTATCGATAGCTGTACCCTGCACACGGCCCATATCTTATTACGCACGCCGCAGCCCCCCTCGTCACTCTGCTTGTACCACGCTTCCTTACTGCGTTTCCTCACACACGACCGCAGTCATGAATGTCACCAAGAAATTCGATCGCTTGAAGCAATGGACCAACGAGAAGATGGGCGCAGAGGCCCGCACTGGGCTCTCCGACGAGTTCAAGGCGCTCGAGGTAGAAATGAACCTGCGTCATGAGGGTATGCACGAATCCGAGCCCTGCAGCTCCTGTCTCGCATGCTGACCACGTCTGTAGGTATGGACAAGATGCAGGCCGCCATGGCTGTCTATGTCAAATCGCTATCCAAGCGCGCAGAGGGCGCCGACAAGGAGAAGCAGCTTCCAGGTGGCCATTTGGGTTCGTCCATGGTCACCCACGGCGAGGACTTCGAGCCCGACTCGGAATTTGGCAATTGCTTATCTTGTACGTCTTGCGATCAATCGGCTCATCTACACCCCACTAACTATCAGCAGCACTGGGACGTGCCAACGAACGTCTGGCGCGAGTGCAGGAGACGTATGTCGCAAGTGCTACGTCATCATGGCTCGAGGGTCTTGAGCGCTCGTTGATCCAAATGAAAGAGTATCAGGTAGGACAGCTGCTGCATGAACATGATCGTAACCATTGAAGCTAATTGGCCTCAGTCCACCCGCAAGAAGCTCGAGACGCGTCGTCTGGCTTACGATACCTCTCTAGCCAAGATGCAGAAGACGAAGAAGGAAGACTTCCGCATGGAGGAGGAACTACGCGCCCAAAAGGCCAAATACGAGGAGACCAGCGAAGAGGTCTTCAGAAGGATGCAGGACATCAAGGAGTCAGAAGTCGACATGGTCCAGGACCTGACCGCTTTCCTCGAGGCAGAGCTCAGTTACTACGACCGCTGTCGTGAGATCCTCCTCAACGTCAAGCGGGAGTGGCCGGTTCGGTGAGGACTTTTCCATCAGCGTAAGACCTAGTACATTGCTGACGCATGACACAGAGACACCAGGGCTATTCCTAGCCGTCCCGCGCGCTCCCGATCCAACACTGCACACGGCTATGCAGAGCGCTTCAACCCGGTCGAAGAAGAACCCGAGCCCGAAGTCCCTCGTATGACTATTCCCAAGCTTACGTCCACGCGCAGCCGCTCCCCTGGCCCTGAGCAGTCGCCAGGTGGCTACTCTCTACGCCCCTCTCTTAGCCGAACCTCGACCTACGATAACGCCAATGGCTACCGAGACGACTCCCCTGCCCGCCGACTGTCCCGCGTCCCCACCGATTCCTCTGTCATATCTTCCGGCCGTACCAACCTCCGCCCAGTCCGCCAGGCTAGTGCTAGCCAACAGAACACTTTTGCTGATGACTACGAGGACGATTATGAGCGATCTAACGGAAATGGATACAGGCGTGATCGATCGCCGCCCAGTCCCGATACGTCGTCATCTGTAGGCAGTGGACGCGGTGGCAACATGTCGCGGGCAGCGAGCTGGACAGCGAGCGAGCAGGGACAGGGAAGCAATGGCAAGAAGGCACCTCCGCCACCACCTCCATCAAGGGCGAAGAAGCCGCCGCCACCTCCACCACCAATGAAGCGAAGTGCGTTGAGTGAATCTCAAGTAGCACGCTACTAGCCCGCTTTCATCTTCATTTCGTCTTCTTCTTGGCTAATGAGTTTGTTCGTAGAACCCATGTCTTCCTCTATCAGAGTTGCTAGTTGGTAATACTGATATGAGACGTGTCGACATGTTGTTCAGGACTCACTTGGCAGAAAACTGGGTCTGCGTTATCGACCGCAGTGCGGTCTGGCGTATGCGGCGTTACATTTGCGGGTTCATTGAATATCAGTGCCGCGGCGTTTTTGGGGTTGGGTGGAGCATTTCTCAGCGAGCACCTGTTATGCACGAAACAAGTTCAACTGTAGCATTCATGCTAGGCCTCTACCTCTAAATCTACCTCTTTTACACAACTGTAGCGATTGAGTGAATTCCAATGTATGCATTCGATGGATGTCAGCTGTAGGCGAAACATCGATACGAAAGCGATTTTCCAAAAAAGTAAAGCAATTCGTGTCTATTACTCAACAAGTCAAGGCCGGTTATCCATACCTCGGCCGCTCAAGAATTGTGGGCCTTTCGTAAACACTATCGTACTCCGTGTCTCGTACACGCTCCATCATTGTTCGTATTTCGCCTGTTGAGGTGGGAAATTCCAATTTTCCTACATGGACGTTAGCACAATCAACTTTCCATCACCAGACCAAAATATTCACTCACCCATTGCTGTAGCCCCCCATTCGGACTCGTAGTTCCAAATTCGCCATGATGCCCAGTATCCACCGGCACAAAAATAGCACCCGTATCTTGACCAGCACCACCGTTCATTCCGCCCCAAACATCAAAGTCCTGGTCCGAGCCACCGCCACCACTACCACCACCATTCAGGCTACCAAGTATACTATCGAAATCCACATTCAACCCATCTAGTGTGCCCGTTGTGGGCGTCCTCTGCAATTGACTGTGAATGTTATTATTCGGCGTCTGCTGCGCACCGAATCCAGGACTAGTCACCGAGCCACCAAAGGAGGGTAACGGTTGAAGTGTGGGATGCTGTTGGGGAGCAACCTGCTGCCTTTTCTTGTTGAAACCCTTCATTACATAAAAGGCTTCTAGGTTCTCTTTTACAGTGAAGAGGAGATCTGAGCAACGTTCTCTTACACCGACGCCATAGCAGTGGCCAAAGATGTGGTCGATGATGGTCGCCATGCGCTCTTTCCGGGGCAGATCGGGTGTACGGTAGAGTTCGGTGAGGAGAAGCAGGACCGCGTGATATTGTTGGTAGGTGGTCGAGTACCAAGCCCAGGAGGAGAGAGAGGGCAGTGTGTCTAGTGTTGCACCGATTTCAAGTGTGGTGAGCGCTGCGGTAAGGAGGACGTCGCGAAGGCGGTTCTCGGATTCCGAACGGGGTTGCAAGGAGGTTTGTGGAAGGTGGCGGTATAGGAGCATAGAGTCACAACGGGACATTAGGAGTGTCGCAACTAGGCCTGCGTATCGTTGAATAGGCACGTTGGCATCCAGATATTGGAGGTATTTGCTCTGGATCTGGCGTTTCTTGGCTTCTACGCGGGCGCGGAGATCATGGAGGGTAATGTGTTTGCGATCCATCTCAATCCTGCCGCGGAATATGAGTCGGTGTATCTCATTGCACTCGTAGCGTATCAACGACAATGTGACGTCTGACCAGCCGGTATTGGAGGTTGGATTTTGCTGCCACTTCGGGCTGCCGAACTCAAAGACATCGTCATCTACGTTCAACGGAAGAGCAATGTCAAAGTCATCCGACCGGATCGAAGGATGGGGTCCTTGCGCTTCTGCTGTCTTGAAGTCCAAGAAACAAATCTGATACCACAAGAGCGACCGAACATGTCGTTGCAGTGGTGTTAGACTATTCGCCGAGCTGTGGCTCATACGGTGTATGCCTATGCATTGTGCCAGGCGGACCAATGCGCCAACTACAACAGAAGTGGCCCGCGATATTTGCGCCCGGCAGAGGGGTATCTGCGTATGTTAGTATGCAAGAGTACTTTCAGGATAGTTCGATATCGTACCAGGTAGATTGTCAAAGCTTGCAAAGTCCGTATGTTAGATGTCTTCGCCCAATTAGCGCGAAGCAATGCCCGCTCCGTAGCCTTTTGTAGGCGCAGGAAAAGATCCTCTTTCGTAATCCCAAACTGCGACTTGGCTTGTAACGGTGAAACAGAAGCAGCGGCAGCCATACATACTGCCAGTATCAAGGCAGTACAGGAATTCTGGTTGGGGCTCCCAATCTCAAGGTTCATCCAAAAGCGATCAAACATGCGCTTGAACGATGGAAGATGCAACACGTGCGCAAGCGGGCTAACGGCTTCCGTGTACCGCTGTAGTAGCCCCTCGGCCTCCATCTTGGTGGGCAGTTGTGGCGCCTCAACTTCGTTATTCTGATGTATAGGCAGCGAACCGCCTAGCAACAGATTCAGCGACGGCGCAAGCGATGGCATCTGCTCTGCTGATAGAAGAGCAGATGACTGTGTCGCTCTTTGGCCTGTGACTGATGAAGAAGGCGTGAAGCTCTCAGACAGAAGCTTGCCGAGCTACACAACGTTTCAGTCTGCGGTCATGGAAAGGCAATGCAAATGCGACATAAAGCACATGGACAGGGCAGAAAGTACCTCTTCGGCATATTGGGGTCGGAAAAATCCAGTGACATTTTCACAAATGATCATCCTCCCGATTCGAATCGTGAGATCAGTTGCGATTTGATCTTCGTCGTCGTTCTCGTCCTCATACACGTCGTCCTGCGTCTCTTCAGGCTCTGCAGGCAGTCTCTCCCAAGCATCCGTTTCGGGCTCAACATCTTGCTGATAAGCTTCCCACTCGTAATCTCGTGGCGGCGTGCCAGGCGTCGTGGTGTCAACGGATCCCGCATTGTCGTATCCATCATGTACACTCGCACTACTCTGTGTGCGCACGGGGAGATTCTTGGTCCAGTCCGGGATGGTAACACCAGTACCGCTCTTGCTCTGCGCACGCTCTCGCTGCTCCCTTTCTTTCTTGCGTGCAGCGCTCTCAGGAACGGTAATAAAGACGCACTCGCGTCCGAAGGCTGTGCAGTTCTGGCAAGGATGGGTTTTGGAACATCGCGACTTCCGGGTTCGACATTCAACGCAGCTGTTGATGGGGCGTGGATTTCTCCGGCGGACCACTCGAGACTGCAAGACCTGTCCTTGTTCTGGCATGTCTCGCAATCCTCATTTTCGCGCCATATGTGGGTGATGTTGGGAAGGTGGCTGAGGCTGATGGTGGAGAGAGCGATCGGATGTCGGCCCGTAAGGGAACCGTGTTGCCTATAACACCAGCTGGTGATGATGCACGTGTTCAGCCTTGTCGCGTCTTCTTGGCTCTGAGCAGATTAGCAGACTTTTCGCCGCCTTCGGAGTCATGCAGGTACCGCCCAACAACTGATTTATTGACTACGGGCCATAGGTCAGCGCTGCTATCCAGGGCCGGCTTGAAACGAATGATGTGGGCCTTGGTGGGATGCATCTCGACCCTTAGCGCGGGGCATGCACTTTGCTGCACTCATTGCGTACTTGGCTGACGAACACTATTGGGATATTGGTTGTATTCACATGGGAAGCCTATCGACCTGTATTGCCTGAACCTGCATATCATGCCACTCGCTTCGACGCCCAATTCCAGGACCTTGATTGTACTTGCGCAAGACTACATCAGCTATCTACCTACTTCCCTCTTCAAGCGAGCCGCAGCTGATGTAACGGGAGGCTCGGGCCACGAGTCGACGGCATCTTCGACTTCCTCTAAGAAGGAGGTGCTGTTATGCACGGTCGTTCCACCGAGCACAACGCGAATACCAGGCGAACTTGCATTGACTTGCGCAACCATCTTGGCTTCCTCGTATGTCGCGCCGCCGACCATGAAGACGATTATATCCTGCGGCTTATCTTTGGTCGAGCCGCCACCTTCTACGAAGGGATACAGCTGCTGGCTCAAGCGACCCTTGATCATGTCTTGCAACGTAGCTTCTAAGCGAGGCGAGTGCTGTGTGTAGACGTTCTCAACACCCTTCAGGCCCTTGAGTCGATCTCGGGCACCCCCGAAAAAGGATCCAGGCTGGAACAGGTCCGGTACCCCACCTGCTGCCGTAGTCGCTTGTAGCGAGTCATGGTAGGTCAGTAGCTTTGTGATAAGATTGATGCGATGCCGTGACAGTCCGCCCGCGACGGCGAGCAAGTCTAGGAGCATGGCTGTCGAATTCGAAGACGCCTTTGAGTACCGTAACGCGTAGATGGCAACAAGGCGAAGCTTGTTGTTCGCCGGAACCCTGGGGTCCTGGATGATCTTTTGTAGCGACTTGACGTCGTTGTTGTGATTGTCTGTACATGCTAGACTCTGTTCGAGCTCACTGATGTCCAGCAGACTCTCTTCGCCAACTCGTCTGCTCAGCTCACCAACGAGTGTAACATGTTTGGTGACATTGCCGGAGAGCTTACGGAACTCGGGAAAGTCTTCGATGAAGCGCTTCATATCGGCAATTGAGTCGAGCTTTTGCGATCCCTGCTGTTTTGATGCAAACTGTTCGACGTACTCTTTCGCGTTTTGTCCTAGGTCACCAAAGTTGAGATACATGTTCTTCTTGAAGAAGGGATCCTGATCTTGCGATAACACAATTTCTTTGAGCTCGGGACGAATTTCCGGCACATCACGTAGATCCACGCGTCCGTTATGTATTCCGAGTAGCTCGTGAACCATAGCCTGATATGTCCATTGCGTTAATAGCGGGGTAACGGGATCGTCCCTTCGGTCTACGATCAAAAGGATAGGCGGAGTATCAGTCTTGCGGAAATCGAAGAGTTGCTCTTCCTGTGTCATGTGGTATCGGACCTCGGTCGCCAGCTTCTTCACAAGCAGACTGTTCTTCTGATATCTTATCAAAGGCTTCTTCTTCAGCGACAGAAGCAGCGCCATGACTGCCTCTGTTGACCTGTGTAGTGCATCCTGATTCCACGAGTCCGGGCTTGTGCTCCATATCCTATGGTCCGGGAAGCCGAGGTTGAGAGACATGAGGTCGGGATTTATGACGAGGAAATCGGCGAAGTATTCTTGGATGGCGCGTACGACTTCGTGGTCGTCTGCTTCGGCGAGGCGTTCCAGCGAGGACTTTTTTATTATGTTGCTGAAGTCTGTACGTGTCAGCAATCGTTGGTGGCTTTGCGTTCCTCCAAGCGCGTACAGATGTTGTATTCGCCATACTTGGGCTCTCGCAGCTCCTCTATCAGGCTCTGTATAGACTCTGGGGACGGTCGCACAAAGCATAGGCAGCGAAGATGGCGCATCTTCTCCCGCTTTGGGTTGTCGATACGGCTACCGACGTGTTAGCCGTGCATCGCATGGTGCATTGTGAAGGCGCAGTACTCAGTAAGGTAGACTTCATGGTTGAGGAGGGCGGATTGTGTCGTCGCCGTGGAAACAATAGGCACCTTGCAACTGTCAGCATTGTGTGTAAGAGCACCTGGTAGAGGAGACAAACCCACAGTCTCGTTGTCGAGTAAGAGGATCTTCATCTTGGCCGCGGAGGTGCCTGTCGCAGCGGTGTCCCCGACCGACACCATCTTGGTGATGTAGCCGGAGACGGCTTGTATGATATCCATGGTCGCGAAGGAATTGCCTGTAAGCCACTATAAACTTGTGACCGTAGATTATCAGAGTCGTCGTGTGGCTTGCTCTTCCATGTCGACGCGGTCGTTGGTCGGCCCAAGCTAGGAACGTGGCTCAAGCGCGAGAGCTCAGGAACATGACGCCGCCAAGGCACCCTCCGCAACCCCTCTACATCAACCACGATTCTTTGCATGTTCGGCCTCTATACTTTGTCTTCATCGACAACGTGCATTTGCTTTAGATACAGCGCCCAGGCATGCGCCAACTTCAACAGTCACGTGTTGCATTTTGTTGCCTAATACATAGCTGAACTTGTCAGATACCTTGATATCTGCTGAACTTCTCAACACAGCCAACCTAGTCCAGTATGCGACTACTTCAAGATGCGCCCCTCAGCAGCTTCCTCGGCATGTGTCCTGGTGCGACCAAGCGCCTTCGCTTCAGTATCGAGGATCTCTGGCATCAGATCGAACACACTCTTCTGCTTAGGGGTCCAACCGAACAGCTTGTTGGCTCGAATGGCCTTGCAGCGAGAATTGGTGCCTGGAGCATGTCAGCATGTGTCCTATTCCCAAGTATAGCGTGACTCACCCCAAAGGTAGCTGCCCGCTGGCCTCAGCTCGTCAGCCTCCTCCTTGCTCACGTTGTCGACGCCTTCATGGTTGATGAGCTTGTTCTTGAATGCGACCTCAGAGATCTTGCTGCTGATATCACCCCAGCGGAACTCTCCGCTCTCAGCGAAATAATACCCTTCCTTGTTCCAGGTCGCCTTTCCACCATCTGGTGAGAGAGCAGCCGTTACCAGTGCCAGGAACACTTCGCTGAGGTCTTGGACGTGGACCTGAGTCCAAATGTTGTCGCCATCACCAACAGCGAAAGCTTTCATACGCTTCAGTGCTACCTTGGCCATATCATATATCTGCACACTCCTTTGATTGTCGGGACCACGTCCTGGGCCATTAATACACGGTGGGCAGACGATAGCAGACTGGATGTTGCCTGCCGATACCTCGTTCGATGCGAGGATGATCTTGTCGACATTGCGGTGGAGCGCTACATCAGGGATTGAAGTGACCTCACCAATGTTGTCCCAATCATCAAAGGTCTTCTCTCGCTTGATACCAAAGGTGTTGTTCTCAATATCCGGGAAAGACAAGACACCAGTTCCAGAGGTGTGAATAAGGTATGTCTTCCTTCCACTTCGAGCAAGTCCGGCAACGATAGCATTTGCAGCGGCTACGTGATCGCAGTCGGCGCAATGAAGAACAATGTCTACATTTGAAGCCTCGGTGGTGAGCAACTCGGTGCTGTCAAGCGTACCGTACACAAGTCGAGTCTTTGGATATTGCGCGGCAACCTTGGCTCCTTTGTCGCTGTTGCGAACAAGTGCAGTGATCTCTAGGTCTGGGTAGGCATTTGCAACTGCATAGAGGGCATCACCTCCGATGTAGCCGGTGGCACCTGTGCTGAACCCTGTTAGTATCTAAATGCTAACCTTAATGCTTCCTAGTATCGTTGGTGGTTCACATGTGCTTGCATGAGGTATCTTACAGACTTACATGAAGAGCTTTGGCATGTTTGGAGCGTTGATGTGATTGTATTGAGAAGACGAAGCAGAGGTTAAAAAAAACTGTTGCTTGGAGTGACAATATATGTTGGAATCACCAGGCTGCTGTCGCTTTGAAATCGTGTGGGCTTATAGATCCACAGCTAGCAGGAACGTACGTCACAGATGTGTACCGGTGGCTGCTAAGGACTTATCCGCCCAAACACAAGCGCCTTGCTCATGCAAGGCTACAGTGCTTACTGTACGCATACCAACAACAACCATGAGCTCTACAATCCATAGAAGAGTGTCGAAGTATTGTTTGGTGCTTAATCATCGACAATTAGCTAAGCAGTAGCCTTCATTCGAATAGCCTTCATCTGAATAGCCTTCATCTACGCCTGTCTGGCGCAATGCCCCGCAGTGGGGCACGCGCTTCTGGAAACTTACCTTGTTATATGCAAGCTTCAATATCTGCTGAGCTATGCTAAATATGCCAGTGAAGTAGTCGCGCACAGAAGCCTTTAAGCTTTGTCGCTGGATTTAGTCTCCGAGGCCTCGCAGCTCCTCACGATTGAGCCTCGGTAAAGTAGACGCAATTTACGTCATCACCTAACCATACAAACACCATTGTCACATCTGGATTACCATCTAACGTTGTTAAGTCGACAAAACTGATCTTCTGGCATAACCGATTAAACTCGTTTGCTACCAAAATGCCTCTCTGTACGCTTCACCTACTTGCTCTTCATAGCACCACACCTAACCCAGTCCTGACTTTCCTGTCAACACTCAAGTCCACAAACCTATCACCTCTCGTAGTCTCACGCGTCATACGTTGGATCATTCTTCCTTCTAAGCTTTCGACTGAACATCTCCTTGCTAGGAACATCCACTGGGATCTCCTACTCATTCTACCTAGCACCGATGCCCTTCCGTCAGAGCTCAAGAAACTGGCCCAACACCACTGGAGCGTAACAGCCGGTGTACCATCTCGTTTGGTCCAAGATTTCCCATCGAAGAACAACAAGCTTCTACATCCAGATCCAAGTTCCGTGCCTGAAGTCCAAACAAAAAAGAGCAACAAGACTACTGAGTCGAGCCAAAGTCTGGAACTCAGCGATGAGCTGAATAAATGGATCGAGACCTTCGTCAACAGCGGTGCTAAAGAAGGCAAAGGCGCAGTATCAATGTTCAACCTCCTCGCTTTCAATCCCGGGATGAAAGAAGAATACCTAAAATACGGCGCCGCATTCGCCAAATCAATCGGTTCGAAGCACGGTGGCAATGCAAAGATTGTCGGAAATGCGACACACGTTAACGGTTCGGCCATTGCCAAGTCTTCGAACAGCAGTGTTGGTACCAACGGTGAAGTAGGTGGCGGAAAAGACGACTGGGATGAGATTGCACTGGCGCATTATCCTAGCATCCTGCATTTTAGGGATATGTTGGCGAGTGAGGATTATCAAGAGGTCAACCATAGGCATCGTGTGCCCAGTCTGAGAGATACATGCATTCTCATGACGAGTGAGATCGCGATTGAAGAGTTGATGAGGGAAGGTAAAGGCGGAGCGAAGCTGTGAGGGTCTGTTCTAATCCGAAGATCATCTTACAGACACTGAGTGATAAAGTAGTACAGTGCGAATGCACTCGTAAACATTGTATATACGCGTATTATTTCTTCGTCTGCAATATAACCTGAGATTGCTGATACGGAGCTTTGCGCTGGATGGTGCCGCTATATAACTTCTCATATCCGATACATGTTGTTCACCATTGAACGAGGAGCCTTTCTATTGATCACATGTCATCCTCCGATACTACAATGAAGGCTTGAAAAGACATGCGACCAGAAGGTTCGCGATGAAGGCAGCGTCGACAAACTTAGAGGTCTCCAAGCGCTCTCAAGCATCTGAGTCGACGATCAATTCACAGAAAGACAGACGTCCAATCCCTTCACCAGGATGTAACATCATCTCTTTCTTGACCTTGCCCTGGCGGGTGCGCCATCCACCTCTCGGACTGTTGATGTCTGGTAACACCCAATTCCTCTTTTCTTGTTTCGCAACCCACTCTTTGCACAAATCCTCAGCCAATTCGACCTTCCGCTTCCAGATTTCGTCATTCTCGCCTTTCACTTTGAGCAGAATGGGAGTCTTACAGCCTCCTACTTCGGTAAGATCGAGAGTTTCGGAAATCAAACACCGGCGATGGAGTAGACATTCTTCAGCGCAGTCGTTCCGCTTGCACCTGTTACAGGATGGATAGGTCCTTGAACATGGGAGGCCGGCGAGTATGCATTGGAGACAAGAGGTAATCCAAACAGGTCGCGGCTCGTTGGGTTCTTGTGTCGAAAGAGGCGATTGAGCTTTGGGATCGAGAACAGTCGTAGGCTCACCGGTATCCGCATCCGAAATCGAAACGGAGAAGTCGAGACTGGGTGGTGGCACGCTCGGTGGTAGAGAAAAGTTGGGTGGCACCGGCCGCTCAGCTGGGCGTTCAGTCTTGGTTGCTAGCTCCCAATCGTCACTACCGATGCTCGTGGTATCAGAATCGTCATCTCGTGTCCCGTATCTCGGAGTTGGGCTGCTAAACAAGCCTTTGCGGAGAGGCCTATCGAAAATGCTCGGCTCTGAGAATGTAGTATCAGTGGGCGAAACTTCATCCTGTGTCGGACGTGCGCTTGTTTGCCTTATTGGAGTCGTCGGTTCCAAAACCCGTATCTCATCTTGGGAAATTCGGTGGCCTTCGTTTTCATCTGTCTCGGGGTCTCTGCTCTCTAACTTCTCTAGCCATCTCTCGATACGATTAGGATATTGCATCTGTTCTTGCGAGGTATCCAGCGGAAAACGCTTTCTAGGGTAGCTCATACTGATTATGGTTGATTTGGGGGTGTTTTAGATGTCCAGAGGTAAAGAGACACGGAGGTGGTGAGGCCGAAAAGATACAGTGATATCAGTTCACGGTGAGGTTCAAAACGCTAGTCCGGACACGTCAAGGAAGTGAGATATGAGTTCGACATGCTATCGGAATGCGGGGTAACGAGACCGATGATATACTCGAACATCAAAGGGAAGAAAGGCTTGCGAATTGGTGTTCATGGTTGTTTGGTGTCGTTCGTGGTTGGTGTAGCTGATTCTATGATCTCAGATCAGTCTACAGCCGACTAATGTGCATTTGCAAACAAATTTGGAAAAAGCGCGGCCTTCCGCTCGAAGCTTCTTATAGAAAGCCTCGGGTTCTTCAGCAGCCTCTTGATGGTCATCTCTCCAACTCTTGACTTTGGCATCTCGAGATGTCAGCTGAGATACAATGCGATCGATCAAATGGTGGCTCGAACAGCTAGACGTTGTACGCGACTTGGGGCTGCTTGATTTGTACGTAGGCGCTCTGTTGTTGCAGGAGGCTCTCGCTCGGCAGTAGTATGCAGGCGCCATGATTACACTG